GGGGAGGTGGGGGAAGGGGGAGGAGGAGTGGGGAGAGGGGCAGAAAACACCAAACAAAAACTTCATTTATGAAACAACTGTGATGCATGCTGACAAAATGAGTTACTTGCAATCCAAGAATGGAGATTTATTTATGTGACATATCCATCTAAGTCCGTAGGGCTAACATCCAGGAATTAACTCATTTTGTCAGCACTCCTCGCAATTTTTTAAGTCGTCAGGTGGGGAGCTGCTACAGAGTGTTGGAGTCTTTACTTCATCAAAGCATTCAAACACGGTTGATAATTGGCAACAAAAAAATACACGCAGGTGACTCAAAGTTAATGGATAATAATTCTTTAATATATCTTGCATTTTGACACTAGAACTCGTGCAAAATTAGGATCCTTTCAGCAAACCCGATTTCAGAATTCATCTTGAAAATTGGCACCTCTGTGGAGCTACCAAGTTCTCTCTCTCTCTCTCTCTCTCACACACACGCACACATGCATATCTTATTTTCTCCAGAAAGGGTTGTAAAACTTAATAACAGCGATCTCTATTAGCGGAAGTCAAAAGTGTTTACATAGATACAGTTGAGATTGTCTGCAATATCCATCCATTGTTAAACAGACAAGTGCCTGTCTCAGATGGGTGAGAGTCTTTCACAGTGTCATTATAAATTAAAAAAACCCAACTATCTAAAAACAAAAATACAACACAAAAAAACCCAAAACAACCCAACAAACAAACAAAGAAGAGGGAGAATGAGAAGGGCCCAAATTTGTCCAGGCGACTGTCTTATACATGTGACCGTTAGAACAGGTTCAGATATATTACATTTTCTTTTTCCAAAACTATTAGAGCATGGACAGATTCCTATGACAACTCCCTAAAACTGCCCAGATTGGGCATGTGCGAGAACCCACAGTTTACATCCACAGATGTCCCCTACGGAGATTGACCAATCAAAATTCTTTGTGCCTCTGGACCAAGTAAAAATAATTTGGCGGTTACAGGAGGGCATGCCCCCCTTTTGACCCATAATTTGGTACTTTGCAGTTAGGTTTGAAATTTTCTTGACAATAATTGATTTGCGACAGTTTTAGTGGTTATATGTGTGATCTGCAGCAAACAATACATAGTTTGATCCCCCAAAGCAGTGCATCTGTGTGCGGGAGTGTGTCTCCGAATGGTTCCTGGGTGCTCGCCCGAGACGTCTTCGAATATCTTCTGCTGTGAGAACCAGATGCTGAGGTTTAATGGCTCCGCTCTTGGCTGGTGCACGTGGAAGATACAAGCTCAGAGGGTTTTTTAAAAAAATGACTTCCGCCTAGGTTGGCCCTGACTGGCACGGCAAAACACCCCCCACCCCCCAAATTCTATATGAACTAAACTGAGTGGATTGGGGCGTTAGACATTTGAAATTACGATTACAATTCTGCAAGACGGAGAACTCACCTTGATTTTCTGCAGCGAGGAAACCATGCCAACATCTCCTACCTCCCGGTACACTCGAATCGCTGAGGGAACCAAGGTGAGAACATTGCACAATCTAGTTTAATTTTAGTCAGAAGTGAACACTTAGCCACCCACTAGCCATTTGAAAATGGATACTGAAGTGCCAGAAATTACCCCCCCCCCCCAAGAAGTTTCCTCCAGACCCAGTGGAATTGCACATGGTGACTAAAAATTTATGGATCATAACATTTTCTGATACATCTCTCCTCACGACTATTTTCATAAACAGTCCAATATGACATGAACAAATATATTAAAATATACATACATGTCCAGTTTGAAAAAAAAGTTCTAAGCAGTTTTATGACCAATCTTGTAAATTCAAGCAAATCTTGAAAACTTCAGAAATTTGGACATCTGGATTAATCAAAAAAAATTAGGAATAACGATCCATGTGAATCTATCGCACAGACAAGTATCAGGCAAAGAGAGAGACAGACAAAACAACTGACCAAAGTCCAGCTCCATGCTCTCTAGGGCAGCTCTCCCGACCTCCTGCCACATGTCCTTCTTGTTCAAGATGGTGCAGTAAATCCACGCGTCCTTGAACCTGACAGACCGCAGGAAAAAAAAAACGCACCAAAATATCAGCCGCCATTCACAAAACACATCAGGTAATTTTTATTTTCTAAAATAAAGTCTACTTACTACTTACTTACTTTATCCGTCCTCTCATACCTCTAGGGCGTCCAGGTGAGAAACAGCTCCCTGTCTCTAGAAAGCAAAGTCTAGTCTTAGGAAAATCAGAGATTTTGAACAATTTATTTACACCCATGGTTAAATAATTTTTTCTCAGCACTTTGTGAAATACACTTCAACATAGACCCAAGCTACAAAAGACGGAAGTCCAATTATCATATACTGGTCTTTGGGGTAGGGAAAACATACTGAGTTTTTTTTTTCTTTTATCTAAAAAAAAAAATGAACTGATTTCATTTCCCCAAACATTATCGTCCAGTCTACACGGAGGTGTGCAGCAGGTAATGATTGAGATTTCATTCAACAGATTAAAGCAACATAGCGATGGATTCTTCATGGTAGGCATGTAGTGGTGAGCTCTTTCATTAGTCGGCTGTCCATGAGTTTATATTATATTCTGTGAGTTTATGCTATTAATTCATTTCACAGACTTAGCATAATATAACAATTACCATCAGCAATCACAGAAAAAAAAAAAAGAAAAAATTCTGACCTTCTGAGCTGGATGCACTGCTGGGCTGCCGTCTTCAACTGAAACAAAAAAAACAACAACAAAAGTTTCACCCAGTTTTCTCTTGCTTTGGTCCGCTGGATTTTCGAAATCGCTACATTTGCCCAGTGACTTGGACACACTTGTCCGTGTCTTTGTTTTAGTAGAGGTTTTACGGCGCTCGCAACTGCATAAGGTCATATGAGCGCCAAGGGGTGGATGTCAACAGAGAAGTCCTTACAGGGAATCAGACCTACTCTGCCCACCTCTCTAGCTTCAACAGCACAAAGTCTGCTTCAACTATCATAATCAAGGCACCCTGGAAACAGCAGTTCACAAGAGAGTGACAAACACAAAAAAGAAATAGAGGAAAAAACAATGTTAGTAAGGATGAGGAAAGAAAAAGCAGCAGTTCCCCAATGTTGTTACGGCACAGTATGAGCATGACATTGATAAATCAACCCATTTACAATTCTACTGTACATAAGAACATGTTAATATCTCCCCTTTGGGAATGGCCTAAAGACATTTCTCTCTTGCTTTGGCTCGTGAGATTTTAGAAATCGCTACATTCAGCCAGTGACTTGGACACACTTGCCCATGTCTGTTACGGGACGGTGACCTCAAGACATCACAAAAACAAACATATGACTTTCGTTTTTTTCTTTTCTGACATTATGTGTGTGTGTGTGTGTGTGTGTGTGTGTGTGTGTGTGTGTGTGTGTGTGTGTGTGTGTGTGTGTGTGTGCTTTAGTTTTTAGTAAGTGTTTTACGGCACTTCCAAGTAAGTGTTTTACGGCACTTGAAACACAATAAGGTATTATAAGTGCCGAAGACTAGAGGGGTTACAAGAGAGCAACAAATACAAAAAATAAGGAAGAGAGGTAAGGACGACAGAATGTTTGATAGGAAAGAAGAAGCAAACCACACCAGAGCACCCGCCAACCACTCACTGTGTGTCTGCGTGTGGGTGTCTGTTGTTTTTTTTGTTTTTTTTTGGGGGGGGGGGTTAGTAGAGGGTTTTACAGCGCTCGCAACTGCATAAGGTCATATGAGCGCCAAGGGGTGGGTGTCAACAGAGAAGTCTTTACAGGGAATCAGACTTATTCTGTTCACCTCTCCAGCTTTAACAGCACAAAGTCTGCTTCGGCTATCAAGGCACCCTAGAAATAGCAGGTCACAAGATTGTGACAAATATACAAAAGAAGTAGAGGAAAATGACAATAGTAAGAATAAGTAAAGAAAAAGCAGCAGTACCCTGTTGTAGATCAGGCACAGTTATGAGCGTGACATGAGTCAGCCCATTTACAATTCTACTGTGCATGAACGAGAAATGTCCCCCTTTTGGGAATGGCCTAAAGACACTACAGTCAGTGGCACTGCCCCGGGGGGTTGTGTGTCTGTGTGTGTGTTTATATATGTGTGTGTGTGTGTGTGCTTGTGCGTGTGTGTGTATGTGTGTGCGTGCGTGCGTGTGTATGTGTGTGTGTGTACACGGTGAAACACCAAACCAATGTGCCAGGATCTGAACAATAAAGACGTATATCTCATCTTATCATTGTGGCTCAACCCAACAACACCTGTTCCACTTACGTCGTTTGGTGGAAGTTCCGTCGGGTTCTCGTTGAAGACGTGTGTGTGAGTCGCCAGGAGAAGAGTTGCCAGTTTGCCACTGGGAGTCTGGAGAGTTACCTCCCCATTGTACAGCAGAACGGGGATCTGACCGTAGGGAAGCTTGGTGAATCCAGCAAACAGAACTCTGCTGCCTACATCCCGGAAGAGAGGAAATATTAATATTATTAACACATTTCATTTCGTGATATGAGTTTGTAAATTAATAAAATCCAAAATAGAAATGTATGAATACCATGAATAAAGAATATCAAAGGAACAAACCCCCCCCCCCCCCCCCCCCCAAAAAAAAACCCTACAAGATTCATATCCATCAACAGGAATAGGCACAAAGTCAGCATCCATTTACAAGTACAGCATTTAACATTGTCCCACTACCATAATCCAAGAATTTTCTGTGTGAATTAATCCAAACTCATAAAACTACAGCATAATCATCCATTGTTTAAGTGCGAAGCTAGGACGAAGTCTTCCCCATAAAACCTTTCAGGGGGTGGTTGGCAGGTGCTCTGGTGTGGTTTGCTCCTTCTTTCCTATCAAACATCTATTGTGTTTAAATCTCTCCTCCTTTGTTGCGTATGTTACTCTCTTGTAACATCGTATGTTACTCTCTTGTAACATAATCTATTCTTCGGCACTTATATGACCTTATTGTGTTGCAAGTGCCGTTAAACTCTTACTAAATAAAAACTAAAAAACCCTTTCAGAGCAACAGTCTTCCCAGAAACCTTTGGTGTGTTTATGACACGTTCACGGAACAATTTTGTCTCCCTCCTTGGCTGACAGTCGTATCACGTTGACAGTATCCAAGGACGTTTATGTCGCAACACAGAGGAATTAGGAACTCGTCCATTTTTCGGCATACAAACTTATAGATATCATTTTAAAGTTTGTTAATTTTTCTTGCTTATGATGGGAAAATACTCATCTATCTAGGACAGAAGTCAAAATATTTGCAATTGAAGGAGGTGGGGGTTGGCTGGTGACAAACGAAAGACTAGTTAGAAAATAGCAGCCAAAATTTGGTGACTTCTAAAGCTTGGAAACTTCAAATTTACTTCCTTTGTGCTTTTCCTGAAGAGTTTTAAAGTTTTAGTAGAGGTTTTACGGTACTTGCAACACAATAAGGTCACATAAGTGCCGAAGAATAGATTATGTGTTACAAGAGAGTAACATACACAAAATAGATGGAGGAGAGATAAGGACGACAGATGTTTGATAGGAAAGAAGGGCCAAACCACACCCGAGCACCCGCCAACCACCCATCCTGAAGATTTTGAAAATGAAGTGCACATAGAAATGAACTATTAAATGGACATAAAAGGTAATGAGCCCCCCCCCCCAAAAAAAAATTAAAAATTTTTTTTTTTTAAAATAGAAAAATCATGAAAACTGAACAGCCGGCATTAAATGTCAGTTTCTTCAATTTCATTATTTTGATGAGCGCCAGATCTCACCACAATGACACACAAAGACAATGGTTTAGTCAATAAAGTCAATTGGCTGTACTAATTTCAGAAGTCAAGTATAAATGAAAAAATCAGCCGTAGGCCCTACTTCTAGATTCATATTCAAATCTAAATATATCAAAGAGCAAAAAAGATGAGATAGTTAAAATAAAAATACAAGATAAAAAAATATTTTAAAGCTTTGTGTGTTTTTCAACTCAACAAAAGGAGTGCTCTAAAACATTTCCAGTGCGAACATGTTAGAGACAAGTTAGACTTTCATCTACTCTGTGAGCTTCCAAACAAAACAGTTTTGCTCCGACAAAGAACATTTGCGTCACTTCGCGAGAGTTGCGACTTCATTAGAACACTTCAGAGACCATTATAATAATTATATACACAGCAGACACACCTGTTCTTTGCCACAGGGCAATAGTAAATTGTACAATAAAGCAATATGTGAGACATGCTGACAAAATGAGTTATTTCTCGCAATCCACAAATGGAGATATTGGCCAAAAATTTACACTAGGGTCAAATTTGTAGATTTTCTATTGATGCCATATTTTTCAAGTATAACATGCTTTTTATTATTTCATACTTCTAAACTGTAAAAACTTGACCTATGTACATGATGTATCTATTTCAATATGGCTTGAATCCGAGTAGCAACTCATTTTGTCAGCACCCGTCACATATCATAACCACAACTGGACTCTTCACAAGAATATGTGAGGCATCGTGGTGGAATCAGGCTCTCGTCATTTTTGGGCATGTGGGGTTATTGGTATCATCTTAAAGCCTGTTCAATTGCCTTTATTTGGGTGGAAAAAAATATCTATTTATCTCGAATACAAGTCGATATATTTACGAATGAAGGAGGCGGGGTTCACCTGTTTTCAGAGGTAAAAATTAGTAAGAAAATGACCGCCAAAGATTACTTATTTCCTTAGCTTGAGAGTCCATGGTAACTGAAAGTTTACATTTTTTGTGCCTTTAATTAACGCTTTTGAGAAAAATCCACACAGAAATGAGTTCTTTAATGGGCAAGAAAAGTGTTGAGCCAAAAAACAAAAACTTGATTAAAATTCACAAACCTGAGGAAAATGCAAGTTTCTTCACTTTGATTATTTTGACGAGAGCCTGATTCCATCACGCTGCCTCACATATTACTGTAGTTGTACTTTTGTCCTCCCTCTGTTACCTTAAGGAGTCGAGGGGAGAAGCAAACGTTTTTCTCCTGTTTGTTGTATCACCTGTTGCACCCGCTCATGTTGTTTTTGTCTAATGTTTCTCTGACCCCCCTCTGTCCATCTTTTCCTGGGCCTGCCTCTTCCTCTGTTTCCGTCTGATCTCTGGTTGTACGCTCTCGCTGCTATACTGTCTGGTGTGGTCTTGACAGATCGCCACCATAGTGATTTCTTGTATTTATCTCCATTTTTAATAACAGTGAAAACAGTTCATAACAAAGACAGCTTAAGAAGATGTCACATGGAGATACGACAAGAAAGCACGGAGTTGGCGAAATGTACAAACCAATGTATGCATTGCTCATCAAAATGTACTCCCAAGTAGTATTCCTAACTGACGCCATGTCAGTACTGCAGGCAATCACTGCCGACTGCCGGCAAACTATCAAGGCTATGAGAAGTAATTAAGAACATCCCATGTCTGAGGATCAGGCTGCAGTGGATTCCATCACACTGTGGTGTCTTAAGAAATGAGCAGGCAGACAGGATGGCCAAACTAGGACCCCAGAAAGAGCAACCAGACAACAGCGTTAACTACATAGAAATAAAAGCTATTAAAAATACCCTATTTAAAGCACCACAGACACCAGATAGCTACCATGAGCTGCCCCGCCAAGAACAGGTGATTATCTTCCGACTAAGAACCCAACACACAAGACTGAGACAACATTCAACATATGTACAGATATTTTAAACTAGCACAATCACCAAAATGCCAGTGTGGAGAGGCGGACCAAACTGTTGAACACATCCTTCAGCACTGCAAGACACACAGGGCCTTGAGACAGGAAACGTGGCCAACCCCACTGACACTACAAGAGAGGCTATATGGGCCGACAGATGAACTGAGCAGGACGGCCGAATTTATTACAGATACCAGATTTCAAGTGTGACGCGATCGAGAAGAAGAAGATCAATGCACTCCTAGAAAGGAGCCGAGCCAACCTGTTCAGTGACAATCTCGTTTCCCACCTTGTCTCTGCATTAAGATGTTCAAAGATTTTCTTAGACAGTACCTCATTCTACAGGCGTTGATTTTACTTTGGTGACTCTTTTTGTTCTTGTTTGGGCTTGGTAGAACATTGTTGGTGTTTAGATGCTGTTAATAAGTAGGGGTTTTGTTTCCATTGTGATGTTGGGACGTGAAAGTAATGGTGCCAGATGGTAAGTCACAACACTGGCCCTATTTTTTATTCTGGTTTCTATTTCTCTGTCCATCCTTACGTCTTGAGTGAACACATTTCCCAGGTAGGTGAACTGTTCTACTTGCTTGATATTGTTGTTGTCGACTGTGAAGTTTCATGGGTCTTGTGGCTTGTTCATTTTCATCGTCCTGGGTTATGCTTGTGCTGATCTTCATGTTGTGATCTTCGTAGATGTTCAGTTTTTTAAACATATTCCTGGAGGGTCTTCTCGTTGTCCCAAAGTATGCTCTGTACAACAAGCCTCAGTACCACTGAGCAATGCCATAACACACACGACCAACAACACAATTACTGTTGCTAACATCAGCCCTTCCTCTGTGCCCGTATCAACAACAACAACCCTATCACAGTATCGATGCAACAACAACAACCCTTCAACTGTGTCAATGTAAACAACAACAAAAACTTTTCAACTGTGCCGGTGTTAACAACAATGTGTGTGTTAACATCCCTTCAACTGTGCTGGTGTTAACTACAATGCTTGTGTTAACATCACTTCAACTGTGCCAGTTAACTACAATGCTTGTGTTAACATCACTTCAACTGTGCCAGTTAACTACAATGCGTGTGTTAACATCCCTTCAACTGTGCCGGTGTTAACTACAATGCTTGTGTTAACATCACTTCAACTGTGCCAGTTAACTACAATGCTTGTGTTAACATCCCTTCAACTGTGCCGGTGTTAACTACAATGCTTGTGTTAACAACCCTTCAACTACGCCGGTGTTAACTAAAATGTGTATGTTAACAACCCTTTAACTGTGCCGGTGTTAACTAAAAGGCATGTGTTAACAACCCTTTAACAGTGCCACTATCAACAACTCGTGTGTTAACTAAAAAAACCTTTAACTGTGCCAGTGTCAACTACAAAGCGTGTGTGAGCAATCCTTCCATTGTGCAGCAGACATTTTTCTGTCTCCACTCAGAACTCACAGGAGCTGTTATCATCATCTGGGGGGGGTTCCCTATAACTGTAGGAGCCCGAGGAGTATGTGTTGTTTTGCCTACCATGCACAGAGTCCCGGCAGTACACGTATGTGTAGATCTTCTCCGCGTCATAGCTGATGAACACGCCCTGGGAGGACAGACAGAAAGCAAAACTTTTGGTTTTAGCAAGAGTTTAACGGCACTTGCAACACAATAAGGTCATATAAGTGCCGAAGATTAGAGGTGTTACAAGAGAGTAACAAACACAAAAAAAGGAGGAGAAGAGAGAAGGACCATAGATGTTTGATAGGAAAGAAGAAGCAAACCACACCAGAGCACCCGCCAACCATGTAGAAGTCATATGAGCGTCAAGGGGTGGATGTCAACAGAGAAGTCCTTACAGGGAATTATACTTACTCTGCTCAACTCTTTAACTTCAACAGCGCAAAGTCTGCTGCGACTATCAAGGCACCCTGGAAATAGCGGGTCACAAGAGTGTGACAAAGATACAAAAGAAGTTGAGGAAAAATGACGACAGTAAGGATTAGGAAAGAAAAAGCAGTAGTTCCCTGTTGCAGTTCAGACAGAGTTATGAGCATTACATCCATGAATCAGCCCATTTACAATTCTACTGTGCATAAGAACATGTTAATGTCCCCCCCTTTGGGAATGGCCTAAAGATAATTCAATCAGTGGTTCGTCCATCATGCACCGATGACGACCCTTGACATCCAAGGAGGAAGAGAAGCCATAGAGCACGTCCGCAAGGGGTGGTAAAGAGAGTAAAGTAAACAATAGCAAGCCACCTGTAATATTCACAAACGTTACAGCTCGCTGCAGATAACAGTGCCTTTCCCACCTTTCAAAAAGAGATATCTTTCTAAACATTTGCTTTGTTGGAGAAAACTTTCTAATGGCTTCATCTGCAGTCTTCAAATGCTATTCTAAAGAGATATCTTCCAAAACATTCATTTAGTTGGTAAAAACTTTCTAATGGCTTCATCTGTAATCTTCAAATGCTATTCTTTTTTTAGAAGAATTTTCCGTAAACAAAGCACTTGTGGTTTATTGGGCAAATGTCAAAGTCAGGATTCGACTGTCTTGATTTTCTTGCTTCTCTGGCTGCCTTTGCTTTAAAAACTGTTTTTCACATTGACCTTGCGGCCACATGTCATGTTATACAAGCGTGGCATTGGATAAACGAGCGAGAACCCAACTGTTGCTAAACCATTAACAACGACAATTATACACCAAGACAACAACAAAAAACCCTACAACACCCACCTTGTCCAGTGGCCAGTTCTCCCACAAGACCCCCTGAATCATCGGGGAAAATTCCGGTATGGTGATCACCGTGTCGTCAGCCTGAGGGGTGGGGGGGACAGAATAAATTAAGCATCTTTCTCTCCTCAAAAGACAGTTGGGTTAAAAAGTTAAAAACGCATCGCTTCATAAACAAAATTCTAAATATGCCAGCTACTATCATATAAAAAAATCGATGTAACTTGAGTAGTCAGACCTGTGAAAACGAGAGGGAGGAGACTGGTGCAAAATATCGAAATATCCGTTACAGCAGGATTCACGTTATAAGGGAACCAGTAATAAATTCAAAAGAAATATAATAGGCCTAATCCATGAGTTTGGTGTTCTGTTTAATTCTTTTCCCTGATGATGACTTTGTTCAACGTGACCTCTAGGTCATAGATCTACTTAATCAAAAATTTAATCAGGTTTCTTTCTCTAGCCCAAGCGATGTTGACAGCTCGGCGTTGGCGATCAGAAAGAAAAGGTTCAATGCTAACTCGCCCGCTGTGTTGTCCCCCACACCACCACACCCTGTTGTGCGTTCCGTCTGCTTGCACACATCACAAATTTGCACCATCCATCACAGCATTGTGACCTCTCCATTCCCGCACCAGAGAAGTGAGAAGCATAGTAGGCCAAGATAATCTAGACTAGGTTGGCCTATCACAAGATGCGTTCTGCTTGTCTGCGCATGCAAATTTGGCTAAAATTCCCCGAGGATTTCTGTGCTGCACGTGGTGGTTTTGCCCCTGTAGGAAGCATTGCATTATGCATTGTTAACCCATTAACACTTTCAGAGCAAAAATTGTTTAAACATTCCTTGCAGTCTTAAAATTTTTTTAAAATAATCAGGGCTGTCTGTCAAGGTGGTCCTTAACTTATGTTGAAGTCTGTATTTACAATTATATAACTGTTTTCCCAACTCACAGCGTTGTAGACGTAGCCATCACTTTTCTCGTCCACAAACACGACGTGCGAGCCCACGGCGTCTGGGAAAAGCTTTCTGATCCCCGCCATGTGGCGATGCTCCACCACAAAGTTCCAGTCCTCGATGAAGAAGTAATGGATGCCACCCAGCTGGAAGATAAATGGTCTGTTCTAATCAATGTCTACTCAACTGGAAGATATATAGTCTGGTCTAATCAATGTATACCAAACTGGAAGATAATTAGTCTGTTCAAAGAAATGTCCTATTACAGACCCAACTGGAATATAGATAGTCCTTTCTAATCAATGTCCACTCAACTAGAAGACATATAGAGTCTATTCTTATCAATGTCCAACCAACGGGAAGACATATAGTCTGTTCTAATCAAACTGCTAGTACACACCTCGCTGAAAGAAACATAGCCTGTTCTAATCAATATCCACTCAACTAGAAGACATATAGAGTCTATTCTAATGAATATTCTATCACGCACCCAGCTAGATGACACAGTCATAGTCTTGTCTAATCAACGTCCTATCTCACATCTAGCTGGAAGCTATTCTGTCCATTTTAATCAATGTCAGAATGTCCAACCAGCAAAAACATAATATATAGCCTGTTCAAATCAATGTTCCATCCCACACCCTACTGGAAAAACATTGTTTTCAGTCAAATCATAATCCTTATTAAAGTCCATCCTAATCAATGTCTTATCTCATGAAACTGAAAGACATAATTATAGTCCATTCTAATCAACATCCTATCACTCATATTATAACTGGAAGATATGCCGCTCATTTTCATCTATGTCCCAAGTTTTAGAACAAGTGAGATGAGATTCACAATACACTTCGTGGACTAGTGGACTTTTTTTCTTCTTCTTTCTTATTCAGTTGTCAGGTCAGGAACAGACATTGATGATCACAGTCTGTTTTGTTTTAGTTGAGGTTTTACGGCGCTCGCAACTGATGATCACAGTCCCTCAATCATTCCCGTTGTCTATCTTGATCATCATCTCCCCTTTTTTTCCCCCTGTACAAATGGGACAACACTGATTCTGCTCATGTAGCAAAGAGAGACAACTTACACTAGTGCCGTAGATTAAGAAATCTGGCGTCATGGCGTGCGTGGTGATCTTGCAGTTTTTCTGGTCGGGGTCAGGAAACAGTCTCGACTCCCTCTCATCTGACGCACCGGCTGCTTCACCCTCAATCTGGCCAAGTGAACATTAAAAAAAATAAAGTTAAGGAGAATGGCCATACTGAAAAGAAGCGTTTTAGTTTTAGTAAAGAGTTTCACGGCACTTGCAACACAATAAGGTCATATAAGTGCCGAAGATTAGAGGTGTTACAAGAAGAGAGTAACAAACATAAAAAAGAAGGAGAAGAGATAAAGACGACATGTTTGATAGGAAAAAAACCCCAAAACCACACCAGAGCACCCGCCAACCACCCACGAAACAGATGAATAATCAAGCAGTACTGGAGTGCCAAATACAGAGGGGCAGAGGAAGGGTCAGATCATTTCGTCTGTATAGCAACCACAAAATTGAAATTGAAAGGGCAAGTGAAAACAGTAGCAATGACCACGAAAAACCTTTTTTTGCCAGAAAGTGTTTGCAAATAGGTGCATTTTGTAGCTTTGTCTTCACAGAGCATGGAACTTTTTGAATTTTTGAAATCCACCAATTAACAAAAAAGTTACAGATTTTTTAATCAATTAATTTCTGGTACACTTTTATATAATGAAAAAACCCCAAAATATGGGACGTTCTTTGGTGAGTTTTGAGACAATATTCGTCATAACTCGCTCATTTCTCGGAGTATTTAAAAGAAACTTGGCAATCCAGTACATTTTCTAGTGCATAATCTAGTCCTACTTTCAGATTTTTCATAGCTATCCTATTTTTTGAGTTATGAAGACGTTTATAGGTAAAAATGTGGCGGTTTTCGGTGCGTTTTGAGACAATATTTGTCATAGCTCGCCTATTTCTTGGAATATGTAAATGAAACTTGGCAGTCTAGTACATTTTTTAATGCAGAATCTAGTCATGCAGTCAGACTTTTAATATCTATCATACTTTTTGAGTTGTAAAGACATTAACAGGTAAAAAAGTGGCGTTCTTTACAGATTTACAAAGATTATCAGTCATACGTTCTCCCAAAGTCATGATATTTGAATGAAACTTGGCAACATAAAAGGTTCCTCCTTGCCAAGCAATGCTCTGGATCAATTTGTCACAAAAATGTAAGTAGAGAGCTGGATTTATTAGTCTAATAAATCCAGTTCTGTACTAGTAAAAGCATGCATACTTTGTTGTAGAAAATAAGATCGTCTCTGTGTATATCCATTGTTGGACAGTGTCCTTTTGTGTGGTAGATTAAGATGCGTTCAGATAATATAGTTTACAAGTCATGGGAATATTTCGCATGTGTAGGCTACAACTCATACAGTAAATGTAACATATTTACACCCCCCCCCCCCCCCTCTCTCTCTCTCTTTCTCTCTCTCACGCGCGCACACACACACACACACACACACACACGCACGCGCGTACACTCACGCACACACGCGTGAACGATAACAATGTATAAACGAGACTATCTTCCAAGACTGGACTAAATAAGTACCATACACAGCGGATAAAATACCGTCCAGACCGCTCACTTAGTTTTCCTTCCCCAGTTCCTCCCCGACCATCCTCACCACCCTGCCCGCCCCGCCCGACAGCCCAGCGCGTAGTCATAAATCACTTGTCAGAGGGGTTAATTGGGGTGACCGCAGCGTCACTCCTCCTGTGCCGGGGCAGTAGTAAATATGGCGTTTTAGTGCAAATTGAAAGTCTCCTAACTCTGAAACTATAAATGCTACAAGGCCGATTGAGATTTCATTGTAACGTGCTATATTTGACCTGTAGGCCGGTATAACTTGTTTTCTTGTAAGTCCGATTATATCAGTTTTACAAGGGATTTAAGTAAGTCTGTGATTTTCAAACTGGCATCTTCAATGTTTAGAACTTTTTCAGTTTGGATTTAGATATATCAATCCGGCCCCCAACGATTTAAACAGAAATTCATGTATCAACTGTGGGGACAATTTTCATTTACATGTGCAAGTTTCAAATGCACGAAGTTATTCTATGATTTACATGTGCAAGTTTCAAATGCACGAAGTTATTCTATGATTTTCTGTGATTTTTTAAAAATACCAACCCACCACTCTGAACATTCATCCTTGCTGTTTTTAGTTTTCTTGCCTCTACTACATCTGAATTTCGTTGTCAATTTTAACAATATTTTTGTCATGGAGTGCCACACTCAACATGATCATATGGTGGGCATTGTGCTCAAACATCATCGCCTTCTTGAGGAGGCTGCACATGATATAGATGTACAGCTGGCCCATCAATCTATGGAGAATTGCACGCCTGGAATAGGACAAAATGTGCATATCTACGGCAAAAAATGAAAGAGGGCTGGAAAAAAACGAGGACATTCAATTGTTACAGGGCTGTCAGATTTTGTCGGATAATCCACGAGAAGCAGAGAGATTTGAGAGGAAGGGTTCTAGTGTACATGATCAGCTGTCAGAGTTAGAGTTTGGGGAGCTTATTCCAAGGTCAAGTCCTGCCTGCTCTGAATTTGATAACATCCTCAAACAACACAACCTCACATCACAGGCCTACCACAGCCGTTCATTTATAGGAAGCCACTGCCAAAAATACATCACAGCCCATGTGTACAGACAGCTAGCATCATTTTTAGCAAAAGGAACAGTTGCATGTACACGAAATCAAAGCATAATAGACACCGCATTAATTGTTCTGAGAGAGAAATTTGTTCACGTAAAAGACACCTTCAAAGATATCCACACAGTAATTGCACATGGAAAGCCAATCACTTTAGAGAGAATACCACATATTCAGTCATGCATCACACGATATATGTCTTTATACAGAAACATATTTGGCAAATAAAAGGTCTTGAGTCGATAGTGCCGTAAAACACGTGCTACTCAATCAAAATCGATCAAAAGAAAAGGTCATCCCCAAACAACACATCCTTGAGAAACACTGCGTTCCTTGGATACAAAAATGTGGGTTTGGAATGGCCTTCCATTGTGAGCAAGGGGGTGAGCTCATTCATGCACCGTGGCCTAACAGACAAAGAAAAACACGTCAAAACAATCATGCAGTCACAACACGTCCAACCCACCCTGAGCTACTCTGTCGTGTGCACCACCCATCAAAAGACGAAAGCTTACAGCGGAAAAATGAGATAATTCCTCCAGTCCAGCAATATTGTGTTCTTTTTGTATTTTGTGTTTAGGTTGTGTTTTCATAAGTGTATCGGCAAGAAAAGATCTGTTCTGTAGTTACATGTATCGTGGATATCGCTATGAAAAAACAAGGTCGCAAAGCAAGAGTATTGCAAAAATCAACTTCAAACCTGAATAATTACGGATCCAGAAACTTCGTGCATATGCCCCTTTGTCAGTACAAATTTCATTATGTTCTCAGTCCTGTGTGCAAATTTGATTGAATTCGTTGGGGGCAATCATATTTAAATCGATGTTTATAATTGATTACCCATGACACATTTATCAAATTAAGTCCCCTTTTTGAGAACTTCACAGCTTTTAAGTGTAATGTACCATGTTCTTCCGATTTCTTCATTTTCTTCCTTAATATGTTGAATATTTACGTGGTCTTTATTAAAATATTCATCTTACATTAGCTTTGGCTCACTGTGCTGGTAAACTTTGCAAAAAATACAAGAGCGCTGCCGGTGTTCGGCTGATTAGGGAAATCCCCGGCGGCGCAGGTAAATGACCCCGTGACCTGGGGAAGCGCCGGCTTGCTTGCCTCGCGCCAGCCAAAACTAAATGGGCGCTCCATAACCGCTGTGCATACTCTTTAATAACAATTTTAATGTCTCACTTTTCCAAACAGAGCACACAGGACGAGTCCAAGTGTGTGCTTTCCCAAGAGGGGGGAATAGGCTTTCATAACGCAAACACAATGCCATACCACTTCTCAAAATGTTTGCTTTTCTGTTTCTATTCTTCTGTCATGCAATCAAGCAAATAAAAATGACTACATCTATTGTATTGTGACTAAAATGCAACAAAAACGCAAGTTATCAAGGACCCCGTTTAGTTTTCAAGTATCCTTCCCTCCCTTTCCGGTTCACATAAGCGGGGCCTCGTTTGTAGCGCCCAAGGCGACCGATGGATGATGACGTCACTCAGTGGAAATTTCCCAGCACGCGCAAATGGCAATGCCGCTTTTTCCCTTAGTTACTCCCACATTTTTAAAGATTACGCAAAAACCGCTGAACACAGAAGCTTGAAATTTTAAGGGATTAAAGAAAAATGGTGTACAACGTATCAGTCAGTTTGACAAATCACAGCTCCGAAAATCTTCAAAGCGCACCACATCAACCACTTTCGCAAACGTTTTCGACTGCTTCTAGGATGGGTACAATGTTGTCAAACTGCATACTACGAGATTGACCTCTTTTCTGATTAGCTGCCAAGTTTCATTCATATCCATTCACGAGAAGCGGCGTGAGAGCGAGTTGAAGACAACAACCTTTGCGTTAGTGCGTCCCACGAAACACCCCCGCTGCGGGGGCCAAAAATCGGCAGAACAAAACGTGCTCGGTGGGCATTGCTAAAAACAGTCACCCAAAAAACATTTTCATTCAACAAAACTGAGGAAACCAAATTCTGCTACAGAATTTAAAATAAAGCTATTGCACAAACACGAAGGTATACTATCAATGTATGAAGACAGTGATGATGCTGGATCTTCCCCTCTTAGACAACACTGTATGAACATACAACACTAGGAGCAAGAAGTCACATGAACCTACCATATGTGTGGCATTGCGGTGAATTCACGCGCTCGTCAAAATGATGAAATCAAAGAAATCAACAATTTTTTTCTAATTTTCTTTTTCTTGGCTCAACATCTTTTCTGTCCATTTACAAACACATTTTAATGTGGATTTTACTGAAAAACTTTGATTAAAGGCACAAAAAATATAAATTTTCAGTTTCCAAGGACTCTCATTTTATGGAAATTACCAAAGTTTGGGGCCATTTTCTTGGTAATTTTACCTCTGAAACCAGGCGACCCTGACCTCCTTCAATCGCAAATACTTGAACTTCTATTCAACATAGACGGATATTCTTTTCATCAAAAGGAAGACAAATGAACAAGCTTTAAGATGATACCAATAACTCCATATGCCCAAAATTGACGTGTGCCTTATTCCACCACATTGTGACACATATGGAGCTGGATTGTCCCCTGTAAGACAACAGCGTATGAACATACAACAGCATGTAGCAAGTAGTCACATAAACCTACCACGTGGAGCTGTATCTTCCCCTTCTTAGATGACACAGTATTAACATACAACACTACGATGTAGCAAGTAGTCACAAAAACCTACCAAGTGGAGCTGTATCTTCCCCTTCTTAGATGACACAGTATTAACATACAACACTACGATGTAGCAAGTAGTCACAAAAACCTACCAAGTGGAGCTGTATCTTCCCCTTCTTAGATGACACAGTATTAACATACAACACTACGATGTAGCAAGTAGTCACAAAAACCTACCAAGTGGAGCTGTATCTTCCCCCTCCCAGATGATACTGTACGAACACACAACACCACGAGTACGTAGCAAATAGATAAACCTACCATATGGGGCTGTATGCTCCCCTCTTACACAACAGCGTAGTAACATACAACACTACGAGTATGTACCAAGTAGTCACATAAACTTACCATGTGGAGCTGTATCTTCTCCTCTTAGAGGAATCTGTACGAACACACAACACTAGGAGTGTGTACCAAGTAGTCACTTAAACCTACAGTGTGGAGCTGGATTTTCCCCTCTTAGATGATATTGTATTAATATACCGCAACCTCAGTGTTTTCTTGTTGTACCTTCATTTTAAAAAAAAAATGAAAATGTGACATCTTCTTAAGTTCACTCTTTGTTATGAACTATTTTCACTGTTATTAAAAGTGGAGATACGACAAGAAAGCACTGGGGTCGCGATACAACACTATGAGCAAGTAGTCACATAAACCTACCATATGGAGCTGGATTTTCCCCTCAAAGCTGACAGCAGCATAGTCGGCGTTCATGTAGAGAGACTGCACCGTGCCCAGGTACTCCCGGCTGTCCTTCATCTGCTCCGGGCCTGATGATAATGATATTGACAATAATAACAACGGTAATGATAATAATACGAAGAAAAATGATAACAATACTGATGATCATGATATTGATAATAATAACGGTAATAATAAGAAGTAAAAAAGAAGGAAAATGATAATGATGAGAATAATACTAATGATAAAGAATATAATGATAATAACGATAATACTAAAATGATAATAATAACAATAATAATAATAATAATTATAATAATAATAAGAAGAAGAAGAAGAATTAGAATAAAAGAGGTGTTACAAGAGAATGACATACAAAGAAAAGGAGGGGGAGAGACAATGACGAAGGACATTTGACAGGAAAGGAGAGGAAAACCACACTAGAGCGCCCGCCAACCACCCACACACTCACCGTTGTCTCCAAACAGGTAGAACCAGGCTCGGTTGTTCATGCCCACACCGACGTGGTACGGACCGATCCCCACGTACGAAGGCTCCACTTCCACTTGGATGGCTAGTGGTTCATCCTGGGGATGTAAATAGAGCTGTTGTATGAAAGGGAGGGAGGGCGAAGGAGAGCAAGAGAGAGACAGAGAGAGGGGAAGAGTAGACATAATAATAATAATAATAATAATAATAGACAACATCTGTATAGCGCAAATCCCTGTTCAACAGCAAACTCTACCCTCTTCACAATCTACACTATTACCCCAGCAGACCTGAAAGCATTCTGAAACAACCTCATACAGAGTGTTTTTACAAAAATATTTCGGGCCAACCCCCCCCCCCCCCAAAACACTCACACAAGCAAGCTCCATCTAATTGTTTCCATACACATAACGACCATATTCATGTTTTCATGTTGACATATTTTTTCTTGTTACTCAAACAAAAAAACCCTGATGTCTTAGGTGTAATGGACAGGAGATTTGCTTCCCGAGTGGGGAGAATTTTTATCGAGTATCTTGATCTTTCTGCTTGGATGCTGTACCCTGTATCCCTCTCAGCCCGCGTTGGTCCTGACAGGCAGGGTCAGAAGCCTGCTCTCTAAATTATCTAAATTGTGTTGATCGGAGTACAAAAATACAGGAAGACTAAAGGGGAAAAAACGATGGTAGTCACAAACTGAAAATTGCGAGGGTACCAATTTTGAATGCTTTTTGACTCATAACTGTATTTCTCTTCAACTGTTGGTTGATTGTTGCTGTTAGATGTCCTATTCAACAACACTTAACAATAAACCGCCAGTCAAACAAATATGAAGTTATGAATCCACAAGCTTTTAAAACTGGCACCCCTCACAATTTCCAGTTTGTGATTCATCATCATCATTGCCTTTCTCACCCTACACCACGGTATAGGCCGCGGACAAACACTTTCCACCTTTCTCTATCCTGGGCTAGCCTCTTGACATTATTCCGTGTCTTCACACTTTTCTGTACATCAATATCTGTGATTCTTCTCCAGGTTTCACTCGGTCTTCCCCTTGACTTCTTACCCTGCGGATTCCAATCCAACACTTTCTTTGTTATGCAGCTGCCTGATTTCCTGAGAGTATGCCCAATCCATCGCAATCACCTTCTTCTTACCTCATCTTTGACTGGGATCTGTCTTGTTTTCCTTAACACTTCCTCGTTGGTGACCCTGTCTGTCCATCTGATCCTCAGTTTGTGATTACAGTCGTTTTCCCCCTGTGCTCTTCACATACATTTGAATTTTTTTTAAAAAGCAGATTTTAATTTAAAATCTCAAACCAAAAAGAAAAAACCAGACCTGGGCAATGTTGTCTTCGATGGTGACCTCCAGCAGAGAGGTGAGGTGAGCGACGCGCGTCTGGTTGGTGGCGGCCAGCATGGGCAGACGCGCCAGGTAGACGTGTAGGTTGCCGCGTGGCGTGGACACGGCCAGCAGCTGACCGTCCTCGCTCCAGGAGATGGCGTCCAGGCTGCGCTCCTCGTCCAGCGTGATGATGGCGTACATCTCCTTCAGGTCCGTCAGGTCGTGGATTTTGATGCTGGGACACACAGGGGAGGGGAGGAGGGGAAGAAAAACAAGAGAAATGAACTGTCTGATGCTAGTTTACAAACTGGGGGGAAGAGAGACAGAGACATAGTAGTAGTACAGGGTTTTACGGCGCTCGCAACTGCGTAAGGTCATATGAGGGCGCGAAACACAAGTTGGTAGCATTCGCAACAGTTCACTGCACGGTTGGTCGACAATTAGACTTTAAAATGCTAAAATACTAAAATTCAGTGTAAATATATTTGCGATTTAAAACAACTCTTATAAATAAATGTTTTGTTTTTTTTAACAATATTGTTTCACTTTACAATTTGCCATAAAGGCCATGACAGAGACATGAACTATTATACAAATGGGGGGAAAACAGAAATATGAAACTGTTTGATACTGGAACAAATGGGAATGGGTGGGGGGGGGGGGGGGGGAAGAAGGGGGAAAAGAGATATGAACTATTTGATCCTGAAACAAACTGGGAGAAAAAAAAAGAGAAATGAGCTATTTTATGCTAGATCAATCACGGGGGAAAAACCAAGCGATATGAACTATTTGATGCTGGAACAACAAATGGGAGGGGGGGGGGGGAACAAGAGAAATGAGCTCCTCAAGGGGGGTGGAACAACAAGAGAGATATAAACTGCTTGATACGAAAACAAATGGGGATAAAAGAGAGATATGAACCATTTGATGCTGATTCAAACAGTACCTTCTTTTCTTTGTGTTACTCTCTAGTGACACCTCTAATCTTCGGAACTCATACGACCTATGATTGTTGCCATGCTATAAAACTGTTACTAAAACTAAAACAAACAAACAAAAAAAAAAAAGATTTATGAACTTTGATTACATTTGTCTCCAAAAAACTGACACACAACAGGACAAAAAAGCAATTATATAAATTAATCAAAGGGCAAGACACCTAAGCTCTATTTACAGAATATTTTTACCAAATTAAAAGCAAAATAAGTGAAAACTAGCTGAGAAATGGATTTGTTCCACCTAAAATATTGAGACGACCAAACAACTCACTGGCTGTCAGGTTGCTATGTGTTAAGATAAAACCAAATAAGTTTTTCGCCTCTGTAAATTTACTGTCATGGGATTATTCTGTCTTATCACAAGGGGAGATGAAATGATTGTATCATGAAAAAGAAGAAATAGTTTGATAATCCTGTTTGCTTTAGTAAGGTTTTACGGTGATCGCAGCTGCATAAGGTCACATGAGCACCAAGGGGTGAATGTCAACAGAGAAGTCCAAATGGCGAATCAGGCTTACTCTGCTCACCTCTCTAGCCTCAACAGCACAAAGACTGCTTCCACTATCAAGGCACCCCGGAAATAGCAGTTCACAAGAGAGTGACAAACATACAAAACAAGTAGAGGAAAATGACAATAGTAAGGACGAGGAAAGAAAAAGCAGCAAGCAGTTCCCCCTATGTTGTTTTGGCACAGTATGAGCATGACATTGATAAATCAGTCCATTTACAATAAGACTGTGCATAAGAACATGCTAATATCCCCCATTTGGGAATGGCCTAAAGACACCAGTCTGTAGCACTGCCCTGGGGGGGGTGGGGTTTGATCATCTGCAGCATGGTCGACCAATGGCACGTACCAGTTGTCCCCACAAGAGGCGGCCTTCCCTAGGGCCGTGGAGATGGCGATGCTTGTCAGGTTGTTCTTGTGGTTCCTCGCCTGGAACAGTTCCTGCAGAAACACACAGACCAAATGAGCACAGTTACAACACACAGACGAAATGAGTGTAGTTACAACACACAGAAAAAATGAGCGGAATAACAACACACAGAAAATGAATGCATTACAGCACACAGACAAAATGAGCTAAGTTACAGAACACAGATGAAATGAGCACAGTTATAACACAGAGAAAATGAACACAGAACATGAAAGCATCACAACATAAAGAAAAGGAACACAAAAAAATGAACACATTATAACACAGAGAAAATGAACACATTACAACACAGAGAAAATGAACACATTACAAACACAGAGAAAGTGAGCACAGATTATGGAACACAAACACAACAGAGAAAATGAATACAGAAAAAGAGAACAAGTTAAAACATAGAAAATACCAGAATAATACTGGTCACACTGAAAACTAATCGTGCACTGTTACTTCAGTAGGTAACAAGCTGGACTATAGAGTGAATGCCTTGGTTTGAATCCCCTACAGAACGTTCATAACTCAGTTCCTGTATTTTAAGCGGTCTTACCAAAGATGGACTTTAAATTCAGAGATCCTGTCTCTTATGTAACTTACAATGTGCGAGGGACTTGAAACCTAAACAATTTCGCAATTTGTCAAGACAAGTAGAACAAGCAGACCATAATAACCACTTAAGACTGCAAGATACCCAATAATTTGAGAAAATCATTTTCTAAAACTTACATGAACCTCAGCTAGAATGTCTCATGTCAAGACTTTGATACATTTTCTATTATCTTAAACTAGAAAAACCTGTCTCCTAAACAGTGCAAATTCTGCAGATGATGATGTAAAGCACTTAAGAATAGTAACAAGCAATTTAAGAAGAGTAAAGCAACACAGTCGAACACAGAAACAGGCACAGACGAATACTTTCACTATCAAAACTCACTTGGCCAATTTCTTTCATGTGGGTTGATATGACAACAAAGTATCCCTGTGAAAAGCCTATCAAGATGTAACCATCTCCAAACCTGCAGAGAGAGAAAAAAATTGTAAGATGTAGTAATAATTTACAGGACAAAAGGCGAGATAAAACAAACTATGAGTACAAAAATTAATCCAGAAATGATTTGCACAAACGAAACAAACAAAATAAAGAGTTAGAGATCAAACACAATTTACGAGCACAAAATATATAATAAAATGACTTGTGAATCAAAAGAAACATGATGTTTTTCATGCTTACAAAATGTAACCTGTAAAGATTTATCAAGTAAATTGTAATAAGATAGATAAGATATGATAATAATTTATGGATCTCCACAAAGAAAAATTTGCTGCGGCACAATAAATACATTCATGCATATTATGCACTTATCAACACATTCTCCCTCACACACACACACACACACACAAAGAGTCATTGCATGCATACACAAAGTAATTTTATTCTCACATACCTGAACCACCTAACCAGCACAAAATGTACAATGCAATGATATCCCTTGCTTAAAACTAGTAAATCACCTCTTGACACAATGTGTCATCTGTCTTTAGCATCAAAACATACGCTGCATAGTGGCAACCAACAATGGCATATTTGTAAAATTATTTTGTACTGGTGTCATATTGTGTGTTTGGTTATTCTTTGGAGGCAAATTTGTGGTTTAACCCTGTATTTATGTATGTACGTTTTCCATTACAATTAAAATTTACTCGTTGGGATCAATAAAAAAGTAATTTGATTTAACACTTTGACATCACAAGGCTCATATAGTAAAAACTCTTGCCATCAAAGGCAAAAGGCATTTTGGGGAAAATCCAAAGAAACTGGGTAGTAAACATCGCCGATCGGCGAGATGTGATGGCAAAGTGTTAAATGTATAAAGGTGGTCATACCATTTGTAAGCCACAATGGATCCATATCTCTGCTGGAAGGCCAGTTCTATTGGATTGTCCGGGTCGTCGATGTTGAACAGGAACAACGTCTTCTTGGCCACGTTCACACTCACCTAGCAGGGTGAGGACAGGAAACAACATTATCAACATCATCATCATCACCAAGTGCCAGATCTGTGACAGACATAGCGATCATGGTTCTCCATTCATTGCTTTGCACAGATGCTCTAAAAAAAAAAGCTACATTATCCTGATCCTTCCCCATCACCCATCTGTTTAGACTTTCCAAGTAAAGTGCTCTGGGTCTGTGCTTGTCTCATGTGCCTTCATTTTTACAAATGAGAACTTGATGTTCAATTCCCTTGGTCTATTCAATAAGCCTGCCTCTATCAAATTTCTTAGCAATTTTTTGTTCATATATTCTCACAAGACACACCCATTAAATAAATAAACTTGTTTCTAAGACAACCACTTCTCTACTAGACAAAGGGTAGCAATTGTGGACAATAACATCTTCATGCATACATACAGAAATATACACACAAACACAAACAGAGACAAACACCCATTTTTTAATATTTTTGTCCACAAACAAGATCGCTTCTGTCCTGTCCCTTACAGTATTTTCGCCGATCGAACTCCTCTCATCTCCCTTCATCTCTGAGAACTCAATGTCCGAAGGTTCGGCTCTCAACTGTGTCTGTCGTAGCGTGTCGCCGTCTGCGTTACTGATGGTGATGGTTCGGTCCTCGCTGCCCAGCGCCAAGAGATTCTCCGCGCTCCACGCACCGCACGTAATCTTTTTGGTGTGTTTGCCGATGATGGGGATTTTTCTGAAAAGTGGAAAACAACGAAGAAGAGGTATTCAACTTTATTTGCAAAACTGTTATGAAAAGTGAAAATATAGACTTGACACCGAAAACTGCAGAAAACACAATATTGAAAGACATTCAGCAAGTGTAGATACCAATGGCAGGAATTTTTTTCTGTAATGTGGATGGAAAATAAAAAGAGAGAGAACCAACATTGTTCGCACAACTGTTATGAAACTGAATACGGACATGACATTCATTGAGAAGTACAGAACACATAATAAGGAAAGACATACAGCAAATGCGGATACAAATGATAGGACTTTTTTCTACAACGTGCAAGGAAAATAATTTGAGGGAGGGACGATTCATATTCAGTGTTATTTGCACAACTAATTATTAACATGACAGTAAGAAGTACAAAATCTAAAATCCGTTAACTTCTGGCAATGACCAATGCATCTTCAGAGGAGAACAATCTCTTAAAGAAAAATAGAACAAAAAAGAATTAAGATGATTTGTGGCTTTTACAATGGTCAATGGGACAAATTCTGGCAGACAAGTCAGGGTATTGCCACATTTTGAACATTTAAAAGCTTTATTTTCACCTGTAGCCACAGAAGCCTTAGTGGAGCAAAGAAGCCCTGGCTGAATTTACCTGGATGTTTTATGGTCGTATATGAGCAAGTTTCCTTTGGATGTGCCAACTGCAAGAAGAGCTCCGAACTTTGACCACATGAGGAAGGTCATGGGATCTCTGGAAACACACAGGTGCAGATATTAATCTTAGATAAAATAAGATAGGATGAGATACATCTTTATTGTCCGGATCCTGGCACATAGGTTTGGTGTTTCACCACGCACGCACTCACACAAACATGCACACACACACAGGCTTACAGTCACAAGCATAATATAAATGAACAGTAAAACTATAAACAATAATAATCTCAAGCTAGATACATACTCAGTAGTCTGACTGTGAACAGAAATTGTTAACTTTAACAATAATATACATGGACACATTTGAATAAAGAAGGCATAAATTCATAGGTCGTTGGGTTGTTTTTATTAGTCACAAAATTGTACTATTCTTGCGTTAAAGTTTATCTAAAAACTTTTTTGTAATTCTCTCAGACACATGGTTAACGCTAATAATAACATGACATTCTTAAAGTGCTCAATCTCCCCCCGGGGCAGTGCCACTGACTGTAGTGTCTTTAGGCCATTCCCAAAGGGGGGACATTTCTCGTTCAAGCACAGTAGAATTGTAAATGGGCTGATTCATGTCACGCTCATAACTGTGCCTGATCAACAACAGGGAACTGCTGCGTTTTCTTTCCTAATCCTTACTATTGTCATTTTCCTCTACTTCTTTTGTATGTTTGTCACACTCTTGTGACCTGCTCTTTCCGGGGTGCCTTGATAGTCGAAGAAGACCTTGTGCTGTTGAAGCTAGAGAGGTGAGCAGAGTAAGTCTGATTCCCTGTAAAGACTTTTCTGTTGACATCCACCCCTTGGTGTCCATATGACCTTATGCAGTTGCGAGCGCCGTAAAACCCTCTACTATAATAATTTTTTAAAAGTGCTCAACCCCGATTAAAGAATAATCAGGTTCTGAACTCTTTACTAATACAACAGCAACACATAAGCAGTACATTGTGTTCTGACTGAAATCTATCGATCTATCTTAATCATTTGTTCAAAACTATCCTCTGCCAATAAATTTTGTGTGTGAAAATGTGGGCGAGTGTGGGAGTTGTGTGAGTGTGTGTGTGTGTGTACGTGTGCTTGTGTGTGTGTGGGTGTGTGTGTGTATGTGTGTGTGTGTGTGTGTGTGTGTGTGTGTGTGTGTGTGTGTGTGTGTGTGAGAGAGAGAGAGTTTAAAACAATCTCACAAGGTGCATTTTCTGCCCTTTGATTTATAAGACAGTTGAGTGATAATTCAAAATTGCACAAAGCTTTGGGCATCATATAAATCGCCATTATTATTCTTCTTAATCTAAAAACAAAAATGAATTTAAGCTGACATTTCAATCAACTAAAAGTTTTAATCTCTCTTTAATTACCAGGCAGTGGGTTCAGTTCCACAGTTTGGAGCCATAATATAAAATATAATACAAAAACCCTTTCTTCTCACATAGTTTTCACTGTCATTGATGCGCTCCAACTTACTTGAGTCCGCTGTCAATCTGAGTGAACCTCTGAGTGCTGGTGTCCCAGAGGAAGATTCCCGTGGAGTTCTCACAGATCAGGGCCAGAGTGTCTCCATCCGAGTCCCAGCCCAGGCCCGTGCAGCGCCTGTGGAGGAGAGAGAGAAAGAGAGAGAGTGAGAGAGAGAGAGAGAGTGAAAGAGAGAGAGAGAGAGAGGAGAGAGAGAGGAGAGAGAGGAGAGAGAGAGAGAGAGAGAGAGAGAGAGAGAAAGAGAGAGGAGAGAGAGAGAGAGAGAGAGAGAGAGAGAGAGAGAGAGAGAGAGAGAGAGAGAGAGAGAGAGATCATTTTAGTCTTAGTAAGAGTTTTACAGCACTTGTAACACAATAAGGTCCTATAAGTAAGTGTAGAAGATTAGAGATGTTACAAAAGAGTAGCAAACACAAAAAAGAAAAAAAGGAGGAAAGATAGAGACGACAGATTTTTTATAGGAAAGAAGGAGCAAGCCACACCAGAGCACCCACCAACCACCCACAGAACGAGATCTGATGTGTGAAATTAAGTATCCAGCAAAGCAGAATATATAATAATAATAATAATAATAAACAGTATTTGTGTAGCGCATCCCGCTCTACAGCAAGCTCTCTATGCACTTTACACACTATATTATTATTACTCCAGCAGACCATAGAACATTCAGAAACATTCTCAGCTTCCTGGGAAGCATACAGTACAGTACAAGCAGCTGATTAAGCGCTCAAACACTAACAAACTGACAAGATTCTTCACTGTCTATAGCTGGGTACCCATTCTCACCTGGGAGAAGTGAGGAAAATTTGTGTTGAGTGCCTTTCTCAAGGACACAACACTGGGCCCCTGATGGGATTCGAACCCATGACCAAACAGTACAGTTGCAAATCTGAGAGCTTAACCAGTAAGCCACCGATGCACACAAATAGTCTGGTGTGTTAGGGGAAATGATATGATTTCACTATTGATGCTAGAACATGCTTGAGATCAGGTACACCAAGTGGGTAAAGGCAACACACCTATGCATTGTCAGAAAGTAGAATGTAAATATAGGAAGTAGAGCTCATTTTTTAAGGAACTGAAATGTTTGGAGATATAAAAGAAAAACAGGACAGATGAATCAAAATATCACAGCTGGTTAAATCGGCAGCGACACCACAGAATGAAACTTTTGGCTGATTAAAACAGCCATTGACAAATGGAGGATTAACTTTAAATAACTCTTGGAACATCTCTTTCAAGTGACTCTTTCAAGGTCTCTAAGAGAAGAGATGGAGAAGCTATGAGAGGGATGCATGGCCTTCTCAACTGTAACCAGAATATAATTTACAAAATACGAATGCCCATGTAAGAATGAATAAAAGTGAGAAAATCAATTTGCTGAATTAGATAATCCACCAACATCAAAAGTATCTTCTAAGGAATGAAAATAGGTTTCAGCACGTGAGACATGTAACATGCACTCACGCATACACGCACAACAAGACAGGACATAAAAGTAAAAATACATGTCTCACGTGCTGAAACCACCCACTCTGTAAAACATTCTCTCTCTTTTTCTCTGTTTCATTTGTAGGACTACGGGCTGTCTTAAAAATAAAAAATAAAACCAAAGTAAGTGAAACATTCTCCTTACCCAGGTAAGGTGAAGATACCCTTCATATCTCCATGACGGTCAAAGATTTTCACTGTGGAATCAGTCCTGGAAGGAGAAAAATATGTGACAGTTAGCCAGCCTTTTATAAAACTAAAATCAATGGACAATTAACAACCGGACTATCTAAACTCTGTCAACCTCTTGTACTTGTTTTGCAAATCAACTCCTAAAAAATAAAATGTGACCTTCTTTTTATGTTAAAAAAAATAAATTTCAAGATCCTGATTATGTATCAATTCATGTTTTTGAAAACAATGATGGTGCTCAAAATAAAAATACAGTCCCCAAAACACTTCCAAGGAATCAACAACGCAGCACACTCAGATTTAGAGGCCAAGTAAGTGTTAGAGCTGCTGTGTATTCATAACCCAAGGTCTTTTTTTTTCAGCTTTCAGAAAAGAAAGTAAAAAATGACAAAACAAAATAAGTACTAACCCAGTCGACGCCAGATAATTTCCATGCGATCTTTGCCAGGCGTAAGTAATCGGTCCAAGCCCGTGAGCTCGATCAGGCAAGCTGAATATGCGCTGCAAGAAGAAAACAAAGAACATTATTCATTATTGAACTAACACTTTTCAGTCACACAGCCAGCAGTACAGAATACCCCATCTGGTCACTCAGCCAGGAGACTGACTGCAACAGACTTCTCCGGCCTGGTGCAGGCCCACTGGCGCTAAAAGGCTTCTAAAAAAGCTGTATTAGATCTAGATTTTCTAGATCTAGATCTAGAGAATCTAGCCTATAGGCCTATTGTATTTTTCTTTATTAGAGTACTCAGAATCTAGTAATCTAGACTAGAACCAGAGGTCTACATTCATGCATGACAATCTGACAATATCCATTTCATTAAAGCTACATTTTCACTAGGGGCGGTTTGTTAACTGGGCAAGACCCGCCGCGCCCGTCAGATTTTTGTCAGCTGAACTGTTGACTAGAGGTTTATTGCTGATGACGATTTTCATTCAGTTTTAAGTAAATCCAAACAAACAAGTATCAACATTCAAAAACACCTTGCCGATTTGAAGGCGCTCAAATAGACAAGTGGGATTCACTGCTGTTTTGTCGCGACATAACCTCATTCCTTCACGTTTGTTATCGCGCCGGCTCGTAAAGTCGTACTTCGTATGAGGCCAAACACACGGCGGGCTTGACCTAGGCCTAGCGATGACGTCAGTCCCATGGACAAATCCATCGTCAGCCCACAGAGCGATTAGTACATCCCTTAATTGCCAGATTGGCCTCTTTGTTTTTGCAGCTTACAAAATTAAGAATGAGACTGTCTTGAGCAGCCAAGACACATATTATTTTATCAGCAAAACATGTATTTGTCATTCAGCCTTTCTCTAATTGCTATCAGAACATTTAGTGTCAGCATGGCACTAATCTTTTTTGTTTATTGACTTTTTAACCACCTATAGTTCCTGTTTGGCATTTACTCATCGTTTTCTCCCCACTAATAAGTTACCTGGCCCATAGGAGTCTGGCCGGCGGAAGGGGGAATTGTCTAGTGAAGATATATATATATATAAGGAGAATTTTAACGAGGAGCAATAGGCACTCGGCTGTCAGAGTCTGGGCCAGGCCTACCCCCTCCCTTCCCTCCCCTTTTCCACCGTCACCCAAGCTAGATACCAAGTTCTACAATTAGCATTTGACACACTTCCCCACTTTGTTACAACACAGTGTTCAGTGTTCAATTCTGAGAACTGAAAAGTGCGATAAAAGTGCATTTGAAATTTGATGATAAAATTATTGGAAACCTGTGTGCTAGCTTTGTCCAGCTTTGTATAGCATCTGATTGTAGACTTGATCTGCTTGGGACAGCGTCACTGGTACAGTAGCAATTGACTTTTTGTCATCATACACAGGACAGTTCTTATTACATATTTTTAACGGGTCCAGTGCACGTCGATATTTTGTGTGGGGGTTGTGTAGAAAGTACAAGTAAAGTACTGTACTGGAGGCCAGGACCAGTGGTTTATTGCTTCTCACTTTCAGTTTGTTTTTTAGCATTCAAGTAGTGTTCCTTTTTCTTTTTTCTGTGCCGATCAAGTGAGTTTCTATTAATCTCAGTAACTTCCATCTTACATAAATTCATAATATGTGAGGCAGCGTGGTGGGATATCAGGCTCTCGTCAATTTTTGGGCATGTGTAGAGTTATTGAAATCATCTTAAAGCTTGTTCATTTATTTTTATTATAATGAAAAAAAATATCCATTTATCTTGAATACTAGATCTAGTCGAAATATTGGCGAAGGAAGGAGGTGGGAGTCACCTACTTTCAGAGGTAAAATTAGTGAAAAAATGGCCCCCGAAAATTAGTTATTTTCTTAGCGTCTTAGCTTGTGGTAACTGAAAATTTACATTTTTTGTGCCTTTAATCAACGTTTTCCAGAAAAATCCACACAGAAATTAGTTCTGTACTGGGCATGAAAGGTGTTGAGCAAAAAAAAAAAATTTGATAAAAATTCACTAACCTGTGGAAAAATGCAAGTTTCTTCACTTTGATAGTTTTGACGAGAGCCTGATTCCACCACGCTGCCTCCTGCCTCACATATTGTTTCTTGACGCTATTATATTAATTACAATGTTTACTGTGGTGTGTGTGTGTGTATGTGAGTGGGGGAGGGGGTGGGGATGGCGAAAGTAGGGGTATAATACTAGATTTCTAGTATAAAATAAAAAGGAGAGAGAGAGAGAGAGAGAGAGAGAGAGAGAGAGAGAGAGAGAGAGAGAGCATGTGAGTGTGTGTGTGTGTGTGTGTGTGTGTGTGTGTGTGCGCGCGTGTGTGTGTGTGTGTGTGTGTGTGTTGTGAAGGAAGAGGGTAGGGGAGGGAAAAATAGTCGACATGAATGACCGCTGCTGCCGCTGGTCAGTTCTATAAACCATGAGCCGCCACTGATTTTCACCATTACCTTGTCTTCAGCATGCTGTTACTTTTGTCAAGTTAAAACATGGATGGGGTAGCCTGCACTCTGGGTAGATCTATTTGCATTGGTTTTAACCCATGAACTTCAAGGAGACCCTCTAAAGTCTAAAGAACTAAAAAGAAAAGTAAAGTAATTGCAATGCAAGCCGAGGGTGTGTCGGCGACCGCTCTGGCTCTTGTCAACTCTTGAGTGAAATTATTGACTTGTAGGTTTTGTTTCCAAAGAAAACTGTTTCTATTATTCTTGGATTGATCATTTCGACTATGCAGTGACGGATACCTAAATGACTCGACATAGAGAACAATAATACTTTCGAATTACCTTCATATTTGAAGCCATCTTCGACGGTTCCAATGTTGTGGAATGTACTTGTTGAATTGATGCGCATGCGGCACCGGAAATCCAAGGCAAACATTAAAGAGTTCTGCTAGGGGAACTCACCAATACGCGGTAGCTATAGCAACAAGGAGTCTTGTTTTTGACTTTCCGATGTTATTGTTTTTAAAAATGTTAAGTTCACCTTGCCAATAGAAACGTGTTTTGATTATTTAATATTTACTTTGATTTTATTATGTATTTGGTGTAAGAACAATTCCGGAAGTGGATACCAGTAAACAAATGGCCGCAGCCTTTGCTGATCAGGGATAGGATGCGATAGATCGACAAGAAAAGGATGATTTTCCTGTTCAAGTTGAAAGCTTGATCCTGATCCAGACTCTTGATAAGTATAATCAGGAAAAGCGTTTTTCTTCTGCACTAAAAGCTGAGATGGCTGAAAAGAAGTACGACTTAGCTCTAGTCAATACGCTCTCGGGCAAACCAGTAAAGCAACAAGAATGGTGAGTGTATATAATATAAATATAAATGACAAAATAGGACCAAACCTTTTTTTAATTGGGAATTTGGGATAAAGAGCACAGCAAAAACAGTGTTGACCTTGTGGACACTGCTGGTAATAATACAGGGAGGGTAATCAAGGGGACAGTCCCTTGAAACTCTCAGCATACCATGTGGCGTCGGTGGTCTAGTGGTCTAGGCTCTCGGACTCGCAACCGTAAGGTCGTGGGTTAGAAAACCTTGGGAAAGGCACTTTACACAAATTTTCCTCACTTCACCCAGGTTGGAATGGGTACCCGGCTATAGACAGCGAAAGATCTTGTCAGTTTGTAAGTGTTTGAGCGCTTAATCAGCTGAATTGCACTGTATGCTTCCTAGGAAGCTGCATGAGAATGTTTCGGAGTGTTCTATGGTCTGCTGGGGTAATAATATAGTGTAAATCGCAGAGAGCCTGCTGTTGAGCGGGGATATGCGGTATACAAATGCTATATATTATAATTATTATTAAAGGCCGGCTCTATTTCTCCAAACGTTCAGGAAAATAAACTTGAACTTTATTTCTCCGAACGGATTCTGTTCTCAAGATTTGTTAATAATAAAAGAATGGAGTGGCCCATGTGTGTGCGTGTTTATGTGTGTGAGTGTGTGTGAGTGTGAATGTGTGTGTGTGTGATCAGTGTGTGTGTGTGTGCACGGTGTGGCGCGCGCGATTTGTTGGTTATTTGCGAATGGAGAGGCCCACATGTGTGTGTGAGTTGTGCGTGTGTGTATTTAAATAATTGTGTGCACGGTGTGAACGGGGGGGGGGGTTTGATCTTCGAGGGTTTTTTTTTTACGTGAAGGGTTTTAGTTTTTGCTGGGTGACTGAAAGCAAATAGGTTACTGCCAAGGTCGTGCAGTCTTGTTTTTTTGCAGTACCTTTTGAAAGTATTTTCAAATGAGGTATAGTCCGGGACCGTTGCCCCAACCACAACTGAAGTTTTCTGAATATTCAGACCTTTCAAAATCTCTAGCTCTCGAAATTGAATTCGATGCAAAAAATGCTTCCCCCCAGTCCTCGCAGATGGCAGAATGAAAGGATGACGCCTAAATCTCGCAAATAACCAAAAAATCTCGAGAGCAGAAACAGTTAGGAGAAATAGAGTTCAACTTTATTTTCCCGAGCATTCAGAGAAATAGTAACTTCGTACCATAAAAGTATATCAAGGGTCGTGCTTATAAATATAAGGCTATTCTTTGGCGCAAAAGGAATATTTAATGTGTCACGATACGGTGGAATCAGGCTCTCGTAAATTATCTGGCATATAGAGTTATTAGTATCATCTTAAAGAGCATTCATTTGTCTTCATTTTACTAAAAGAATTTCCCCACCTATTTTCAAAAGAAATCAAAATATTTTGGGTTAAAGGGGATGCATATTATTGGGGGTCACCTAATTGTTACGGAGGTAACACTATCTAAAAAATGGCTTCCAAAGTTTGATGACTTCCAAATCTTGAGAGTCTTTGAAAGCTGCAAATTTGCATTTTATATGCCTCTAATCAACATTTTCAGTAAATTCCATACTGGAAATGTGTTTTTAAATAGACATTAAAAAGGTAGTCTAAAAACAAAAATTCAATAAAAATTGCCTAACCAGCGGAAAAATGCCAGTTTCCTCAATTTCATGATTTTAGCGAGTGCCTTTCAACAAGATACCTCACATATTGTATTTAAGCCATCTTTGTAGCAATTTTAATGCTACTGATTTCTGATGCTTTTATTGTTTTGTTTTTCATTTAGTCTATACGCTGCTCTATATATCTTTCAGCATTAATTATTGGTGTTTCCGCAGAAAAAATGCTATCGAGCTTTAATTTGCTACTATGATAGCAGTATTATACCTATCACCGATGAAATGTAAATATTCAATTTCAGCGAAGTGCTTTGTCACGACATACTGAACCATGACAAAAGATATGTCCTCAAGCTAAATCTTCCCATGTTCCTATTCTATGAATAGAAAGTGGCCTGGTCCAAAGAAGAAAATATTTTTTACCATGCCCAAACGTACTGTGAAACTAATGCTTTAAAAAATAGACCTACCCATGCCTGCTTTCTTTCTTAATTAAAAGTCATGTATTTTTAGCACACTTTGTATACCATAATTGAAGTGCTTTCTTTTTGTAGGTACAAAGAAAGACTTCAAACAAAGTATATTAAAAAGCTGAAACCAGGGGAACGGATCAACAGTAACAACACTCAGAACTGGCTGTTCATGAAAGACGGCCTGGACGACTTCCGTGATGGTCTTCCCCCGGCTGTACAAGGCAGTGACTTTTTGAAGGTGAGACATATATATATTTAGAGGGTTAAAGGTCAGTGTTGGTGGTTTGTGGGGGGGGGGGGGAGTCGAGTGGTGTTGGGGTCAAGTACGTGGTGTTGGGGGTCTTGTGGCTTTCAGTGGCGGTGAATAGTGAAGGGCTCACAGGCTTGAGCCCCCCCCCCCCCCCCCCCCCCAAACTCTATCCCAAAGTAAATGAATGTTTCTTAATTAATTAGATAATGAAATAAGCAGTTGAAACCATTATGATCGCACTAAATGAACACAGAGTGATCAACTTGGTGGCTTGCTCGTTTATCCAATTATTGTTGTGACTGCTTGCAACTATAGTAATCTAACTGCCAATCAAATGTCTTTAGGGTTCAGCAAAGGATGAGCCCATTCCCACGCCCCTTCCGTAATGAAAATCTTCTTGTAAAAAGGTAGGAGACTCTCCAAGCCCTGACAATGGGGTGAAAGTTTATGACACACTTTCCCCCAGTGACACAGACTCCTATAATGCTCTCTTTGGACCTTTGTTAGGTGCCTTCTACTTTCTGCGAGTAGCACAGACTAATCTAGCTCATAGGTGGATTATGTTTGAAGTGCTGTGTGTGCATGTTTGTGTTTGTTCCTCTGAGATTTAACTGTTATAAATCACGTCGATTCTACTTTTAAGGGGCAAGGGGTTATGTACACGATACAAGGAATTTTCTAGGGGTTTGACTTTCTTTCAATTTTTAAAGGTGATATAGCCTAATTATATACTAATTAGAATAATCATGACGGAATTAGTCGAGTTTTATGAAAAAGTTGTTCTCTATGGCGGCCATCTTGGATTTTTGGCCATGTTGCGGAGGAAATCGATTTCCACAGAATACATGTGTATTATAATTAAATCCTCAAACTTTACACACATATTTACAAACAATATCTGTGATCGTAGGCTTTGACTTTTTTCGTATCATTAAAAACAACAAAAATATTGATATATAACTGGACCAGCACCGAAAAAACGAGTATGGTGTGAAAAAATCGGGAACATTTAAAAAAGTAATCCATATTTCACAAAATCCCTTCCTATGATCACAGAACTTTTTATACTGCACCTGTGTACCAAATTTCAAGCATGTAGCTCTGATACTTTTAGAAAAACGATCTCCCCCACGCGGTCACCATAGTGAAAAAGTACTTTATGAGAAAAACGCAAAAGAAGATAGGTAAACGTCAAAGTTAAAAAATCTATTGCCTTGAAACCCGATAAATTGGATATTTTTTAAAACGTTGGCGCATTTTTCTGATGGAACGTTCATTTTCTTCTGAAGTTGGCATTCAAAAACAGGTGCTCATGACTACCTTCATGAATCTTTTGTCCCTGACCTTAAGCAGTTACGTACAAATCAGAGGAATCCTTTCGTGACGTTCCGAAATAACGCCAACACACAGTGCGTGCGTGCGTGTGTATGTACATTTATTGGATATGTGTGTTGGTGGGTGTGTATGTATGTATGTATGTGTGTGTGTGTGTGTGTGTGTGTGTGTGTGTGTGTGTGTGTGCATGTATGTGTGTGTGTATGTGTGTGTGTGTGTGTGTGTGTGTGAGAGAGAGAGAGAGAGAGAGAGAGAGAGAGAGAGAGAGAGAGAGAGAGAAAGAGAAAGAGACAGAGAAAGAGTAAAACGTATCCCAATTATGACGGAATTCAAACAAGTGCTCACATTTTAAAAGCCGTAGACAGCACAGTAAATTAATTTAGCAAAATGAGGACTTTACTTGTGGATTAAGTTTTACAAAGTCATAGAAGAGAATCCCACTATTCTTACAGAAGTTCTGGGCTGTCAAAGAATGTGCTCTGTGTGGCGGCAGTCACGAGAGCAAATCTCCTTTACTCGGCGTTGGGACGTGATTTATTACCTTCTGGCAGTGCTCACGCAGATTTTGTCGAGCAAGGTGTTTTGCTTTTTGCCTCAGTTCACAAAGAATGGAAAAAGCCTGACCACACATCTAATCTTTAAGTCTCTAAGGCAGTTCCATAATTGGAAGTCCAAGTTCTGGCACAACGTATCCCGCAACTTTAATTTAAGTGATTCTGGTTCCACTCAATGACCACAGCTGCTGGGTGCAGAGCTGCTCCCTCTTGCTTAAACAACTGATGTTTCCGCTCCTGATGTCCCACAAAATTTCTTCAGTGATCTTCGAAACAGATTCAAAATCTTCAGAGAACGATCTGCTGCCACTGTTACAGCACCATCGTCTTCTACCATGAACCCGCCCGGACCAATTAATCTACTGACTCGATTCAACCCACGCTGTAGCATTCTGAGTGCGCAGGTTTCGGTAAACGACGTTGTCTGTTTTTTGGGGGTTTTTGAACTCCAGTAAATGTGATTTCTTGGGTTCACTTCTCCGTTCAGATAGAAGTGGACTTTATCGCCAAACCACTCTTTGCATGAATGAATAGGCCTATTAATATTATCACGGCTCCTCAAAAACAATCGACACATTTTGATCCGTTCCCTGGTGTGTTCACATGAAATACCTTTGCATATCAAAATATGACACGCCTTCAAATGGAGATTGTATCTCAAAAATTTCTGTAAACAAAAATTTATGAAAGGTGGAGCTGAACACTCCGACGGCGACGACGTACTGATGTCTTTGGCGTGACCTCCTCAGAGCGCTGAACAGCGTCAATGTTCTCCTCCTTTCTAATGTACTGCTAGGTCGTTCACGCTTCCTTTTGTGAGACACAGACACACTTGCCGGGCCCTTTTAAAGTCTACATACGGTCCAAAGATAGTTTTGATACAGGGAAAATTACATCCCTTCCTGTTGTTGGCATTCGACCATGAGATTGTTGTACCTTATGTGAGATGTAATCTGCGTGTTTCAACTCACTTACTTTCTTGATTTGCTCCAGAGTTGGGACAACAGATACACATATACACACAAATGCACGTGCACACACACATATATACACACACACCGAGAGAGAGAGAGAGAGAGAGAGAGAGAGAGAGAGAGAGAGAGAGAGAGAGAGAGAGCATACTGGTTTCTGTCGTGTAACAGGCGGTCCTCTGTCTCATGCAGGAGACCCGAGTCCCAAGTGGAGAGAATTTAATCGAGTATACCTATCAGCCCAGGTTGGCCCTGGCATGCACAGACGGAAACCCGCCCCCTAAATGATCTAAATTGTGTCAACGAGGTCGTTAAACACATACAGTCAAATTTAACTTTTCTTCAACGCTACATATATATTATATGAACATGAAAAGAGCGTAATAGAGAGAGAGGGGTGAGTGAGAGAGAGAGAAAGAGAGAGAGAGAGAAAGAGAGAGAGAGTGAGAGAGAGAGAGAGAGAGAGAGAGAGAGTGAGAGAGAGAGAGAGAGTGAGAGAGAGGAGGGGGTGTAGGGGATGAGGAGAAGGTGGAAAGCAGAAAGAGAGACGGATGGATATATATTAAGAACCCCCTCCTCCTTTCCCCTCTTTTTCTCTCTATCGTCAACACGATCCTGTTGCTATAGAGCTACATTTGGCTAAGTCTACTAGCTTACTGGCACAGTGAGTACTCTATAGGTGAGATCAAAATTTGGAAGAAAAAAACAACTGAATCAGAGCTAGTTGTAGGGTAAGCCAGTTAGAGTACGTGAAAACGCATGTTTATTTTATTTTCAAACAGCCCCTGCTGTCCTTCCGCACATTTTCTCTTATTTGTACGACCATGGAACAGAACCAGGCATTGGACGTGCCTGGAACACGTGCTTGGATTGGTGTATGAGAAAAAAAAAAGGCCTCTTATTGGGGACCCGAAAGTGACACTGTGTTTCCGATAGGTCATACTGTTCATGCTATTGCGAAGAATGATCTATAGTACGTACAAGCATTGCCCCTCCCCTCCCTCCCCAGTGAACCAATCGTGGGATGTTCAGACTAGAGTCGTTTGTAGATTGTTAAAAAATGCACAAACTCATAGCTCTGACCTACTCGTAGGACAAACTGTCACGCAAGGTTGGAGGTGCTTGCTTTGAATGTCTGTTTGATGCGTATGAGGTAATTAAAATTTGATGAAATGGATTAGTAAAAATCCAAGGATTTCTTTTTTTCCGAGAGTCCGATGTCGGTGGTCCATTATAAAAGTGTTCGTTTTCGGGTACAGTGCATTGGCTTGGCTGTTCTTAAAATAATGTATCCTTGCTGTTGTTAATGCTGATCCAATCTCTAAGCTTTGCATTTCTTTTGAAAAGTGTTCTTGTTAGCTCCTCTTGCATTTTCATACGAATATAAGCCTGCTAATGGTTAGCTGACTGTGTTTATGAATGAACGCAATGCACAAACAAGGACCATAATGTAATACGGCAAGCTTCACCAGGACTACACTTTTCAACGCTACAACTACAAGTATCTCATAGCACACTAGAAGTTCATCAAAGACCACTGAACTAATTTTAGATTTTAGACAATAACGCAAAGAGCCCCATGCACTATTAGTATGAGGTTGTGAGATATGAGATAATCCATACTTTATTGGTCCAGCATTGGACAAAACATGCAGTGTGCTTTCACTGTACTCGCTGTGTGACAAGAAATACAAAATGCACACACATAACCAACATTATTGCAACTCACTAGAACCCCCCCCCCCTCTCCCCCCCTCTGTCTCTCTCTCTGTCTCTGTCTCTCTCTCTCTCTCTCTCTCTCTCTCTCTCTCTCTCTCTCTCTCTCTCTCTCTATCTCTCTCTCTCTCTCTCTCTCTCTCTCTTCCTTTCTCTCTCTCTTTTTCACTATCTACTTTTCTCTCTCGTTCTCTCTCTCTCTCCTTTTCTGTCTCACTCTTTTTATCCATCACTCCTTACAAAATAATGACACACAACATGGCAACTGTAAGGAAAATCACGGGGAATAAACGTGAAATGAAATGTGATTATGAGAGTGAAACTACTTCTAAGATCGTCCACACATTAGCCTGCACCTTCAAAGAGAGAAACTCACATTACTTGCTTTGTGGCCTACACAAAAATAAAGAGGGGTCAGAAACAGAACGAAATCTCGTCAAATAAATACAAAAGCGAATCGCATGGTTCTGTCAGTGAAAGGAGTGATGGATAAAAAGAGTCAAACGGCTGTCGAATTGAAAGAAGAAACAGCGGGGATCGTGAAATACTGTTGGGGGTTACATAATATGGCACGGCATTCTGCAACGGAGTATTGACGTCATATTATTATTTTTAACAACGGGGATTCATTTTGTCAAAGACGACCCAAAATTTGCAAGAAGAGGAGTCCTCCGTTGTGCACATGGTTGTTCAACTGCCAAAAATACATGGATCTTGATCGTCTTGATCGTTTAGGGATTTGAAAGAAGGAGAGCTTGGGAGAACAACGATACGAAACATGATAGAGTCATACGCGGTAGTTGTCACGGTCAAATTATGGGCTAATCTAAAGAAAACACTCCAACTTTTGACAAGGGTGCCCTCTGGAAAAAGCCTATAAATGAGAATTTTTGACTTTTTTAGAATGAAACATCAGCGTTATCGATTCTTTAGATATTCAGGTACCCAAAAATGGAGAAAGTTAAAAATCGATTTTTTTACCCAAACATCGGGTTTTGCAGACCCGTGACATTTAAGGCAACTTTTTCATCCAGAAGAATCTAACTTAGAACAAATAGATGGAAGACAAAAATCCCTCTTCTCGTTTGTATAGTTCCCAAAATGCCGTGGCTCACCGTGAATATAGAGAAATCAGTACTGTTTAGGTCTTATTGCTTGCTATTTGGTGGTAAAGAAGGAAGTGGAAGCAACCGAAGTCCCAGTCTAATTTTGGTCCGCCGACAGCCACTGCGTGGCCTTTGGGGTCTAGTGGTGTGTGGGGTCTAGTGGTTTAATTGCTGTTGGGCTCGCTACCAAAAGGTGGGGTCTGAACCATATCAGGGGCCTAACTTTATGTCCTTGTCAAAGGCACTTTACACAAATTTTCTTAACTTCATCTAGGTGAGATTGGGTACCTGGAATATAGACAGGGAAATATCTTCTTGTCAGTTTTATAGTATATTATGAGCACTTAATCAGCTGCTTGCACTGTAAACTTTCTCGCAAGTTGAGACTTTTCATGAGTGCTCTAGAGTCTGTTGGGGTATTAATGTTACTTGTAGACTGCATATAGAGCTTCAGCTGTTGAGCAGGGATATACACTGTAGGCCAACAAATGCTGTTTATTTATTATTTAGGCTTACACAGCTGAGGTCTCCTTTCTGAAAAATAAAAATTACATTTTTTGTGTCTTTAATCAATGTTTTTCAGTAAAATCCACACAGAAATAATATTTAATATGTGTTTTTACGCCAGAGAAAAGGAAAATTAGACAAAAATTGACTGTTGGCCCAAAAAATGCCGATTTTTTTTATTTCGTTATGTTGACAAGCGCCTGATTTCACATCGATGCCCCACATATGATGGCAGCCTCAACCCGCCTTGAGCACAATCTGTCTGTTACCTGTTAAAGTGAGGTTTTAAGGACTCTGCTGGAAAGTTGTGAACAATAAGCACCCTTGTTGTGTCGAAATAAAGGGATAGAGGATAGAATTGAGGCTGTTCCAGTCTGAGCATCTGTCTTCAGTGTGTGAAAAATAAACGCCTCCGGCTGTCTATTTGCTGGCTTCCTCCTTTGACCTTTGACAGAATAAGATAGATATGCCCACAAAAACTTGGAAACTTCTTTCCTTTTCACAAAAAAAGCAACTGAGCTAGATCCTACATAATATCCTAGTTTCATGGATTTGAAAAATTTGAGAAAAAAGGGCCTGAAGATATGAACCACTCACCTTGAACAATGCAGCATCAAGCAGATTATTTTCAAAAGGAACAACCACCATTGCTTAAGGCAATGCGTAATATTACTTTTCCTTCCACAACTCCTTCACAGACCGCATAGAAAAAACCTCCAAGATAAATATAATTCTAGTTGTTGTTGTTTTTTTTACAGTTGATGAGCTTTCAAGTGCATTTGTGTTCATGATGATATTTCTCTCTAGGCTGTTAATTTCATTAAGCTTATTTTCTTTTTGCCAATTTCAGTCAGACAAAGGCCCTGGTCCAACCATTCATGGTGAGTTTCTCAAAGGGGACCAGGTCAAACAGCCAGCCGCTCGAAAAAGGCTGAGTCGTTTCCAGACGTATTACTCACGATGCACGCCGCAACAGCAGCAAAGAAGGGACTACATCAACGAAGTGGAGCAGGGTCTCCTGAAGCACCCGTTAGCTTTGTACCCTCATCTAGAAGAGAGTGTTGCTCCAGAGGTATGTTATTTATTTATTTGAGACTCGTAGGTTTTTTTTCATGCAGATGTTTTTATACTCTCATCACTGGATCGATAACAACAGCAATAACAACATACTCTCATCAATGTAATTGTGGGTGGTTGGCGGGTGCTCTGGTGTGGTTTGCTCTTTCTTTCCTGTCAAACATCTATTGTCTTGATCTCTCCTCCTTCTTTTTTGTGTTTGTTACTCTCTTGTTACATCTCTAATCTTTGGCACTTATATGATCTTATTGTGTTGCAGGGGCTCTCGTGGCCTAGAGGTTAAGGTGTTGGCCTCTCATTCAAAGGTCGGGGGTTCGAATCTGGGTAGTGACCGAAAAATTTTCTTCTCTAAATTTGTCTCCTTTCACCTCCTTTCCTGCTCTCTAGCAATGTTCTGTCGTCTGCTTTCGTCTCCTCTTTCTGCCCCCACTCCCTCATCTCCTTTGCCCCCCTCCTCTGGGCTCCTGATTCTTTCTACAGCCTTTCTACTGCTACTCCTTGGCTTCTTCTTACTGCTGTCTTTCAGCCACACCCCTGATCTTCTGGTAGGAAAGATCTACACCTAGCCTTCTCGGACAAGAACGAAAAATCTCGGAGGGCCCGTGTGCAAGTTGCGCACGTTAAAGATCCCTTGGTGGTCTAAAATCAATAAAAGTAGGCTTCGGCCGCCACCCGGGCAAAATTCAAAATTTCCTACCAACTGAAAAAGTTAAATGTGTCTTGCGCGCTCATATGACCTTATGCAGTTGCGAGCGATGTAAAACACTTTAAAAAACAAACAAAAACAAAAATTATTGTGTTGCAAGTGCCTTAAAACTCTTATTAAAACTAAAACTAAACGTCAATGTAATTAAGATCATACAGGAAGTGGGCTTCTGACCCTGCCTGTCAGGGCCAACTCAGGCTGAGAGGAATACCAAACCCTAGCAGAAAGATGGAGATGCTCAAACATTTCTCACCACTTGGGAATTGAACTCAAATCTTCTGCATGTTTTTTCCCATCCATGTGACGCATTGATTGATCGAACACACCTCTCTTAAAACAGTCGTATAGTTGTATCTGAACAGACTCATGGCTAGCAAGGCAACAAAAAACAACAACATAACATCGTCACCTCAAGTTGCCTTAAAAATTGTGTGAATGGTGGTGACGTAAATAAGTTGGCTATAAAATGAATGAAGGCTCTGGTTTAACAAAAGAATTGAGCAGTTATAATTTCTTCATTTTTGATCATCATTTTTTATGAATTTTTTCCTTTATGCTTAGCTGTTCTTGACCTGTCGCTGAAGAGAACTAAGCTCAAGTGAGCAATTTGTTCACATAACATTGCTTGGTAATCAAAACATTTGTGTCCAGACGTGGTGGAATCGACTTAAAGCCTGTCAGTTTGCCTTGCTTTCGATGAAAACAATACCCATTTTTCAAGATATTTGCGATTGAAGGAGGTGGGGCTGCATGGTTTAAGAGGTATAATTAGCGAGAAAATGGCCTCCAAAGTTTAGTTAATTCCTTAGCTTTCCAGACTGAAACGTGTTTTTAATGGGCATAAAATGTGTTGAACCGAAAAACAAAAATGTATTAAAAATTCCCAAACCTGCGGAAAAATGCGTTGGAAACAAAGAATTACATAAAATTTAAAAGACAAAATTCTGTATTCCAAAATTTTTTTCATGAAAGGGACTTACGCAGTCCATTTGAAAGAACATTTTCCCCTCTAGGGCTGGTGTGTTTGGTGTGCGTTGTACTTTAAGTGACAAGCTATAGTTATACATGTCCTATTGATAACGTAAAGGCTAAGCTTTTTTTAAAATTAAAAAAGATACAAGTTGAAAACCACAAGAGAAACACTGGCACTGTATCAATCACTTGACCACCGGTACGATATGTTTCCAGAGAAAGCTGATGGTGTATGATCGACTGAAATGTCTTGGGGATTCGAAGATCACTGGAGAAATGCAAATACGAGTATACTGTTTAGTCTTTGTACCGTTGATTGCTGTTGAGCTTGTTGTATTCAGAACTGGTTTATCAGCTTTTGTTATTACTATAATTTTGGACACCTTCTTCTTCTTTTTTTTTTTGTTACAAAGTTGGGATTATGATGTTGATTTTATTTCCCAGTTTTGCATCTGACTTTTAATGTGTTGGATTTTAAAAGTTTATATATTTTGCTTTATCATCCCAATTTTGCTTTTTCATTAAAAAATTTTCTTTTGTTTGTTTGTTGCATTTTCATTTGTCTGAAAAGTGAGGTGACAGCACTTTCTGTTGTGAGCTGAGATGGCATTTTTACCTTTGAGTTATGTTTCCATTCCCATTCTTCTAAAAATGTTCCTTCACATGGTGATTGTATTTTTTAACCTCTTACTTAAATGAGCAAAATTCTCGGGCCCAGTACCCAGGTAGAGAAGACCCCATCATGAGAATAGTACACTAAAAATGAGTCACCCTCAAATGTTTATACTCGTCTAAGAATCAATACCTTACATTTATCATAATTATTTTCAACAAATTGGTAATTACTCCTCAAAATTCCTTTAAAGACTGTATTTTTGGGGATGCAAAATATTAGACAAATGATATTCAGTAATAGGAATTTTGATACGATACAATTGTTTTTCCCTAAATGAGAGAGTCGGTGGAAAATTCAGCTGTAAGCCCTACTACAGTCTCTTGATCTTTTCCCACAATCTATGTGGTTCCTACATGACGGTGTCATTTACTGACAACAGGTCAGCAGTTATACATTGTGTAGCAGTATTTTTAATAGAAATGAAAGTGATCACAGGTAATGATCTTGGGAATCTCTGGACAAAAGATTCAACTTCTTGGCAGGCAGGCAATTTCATCAAAATGTTTCCTTCAAAGTTCCCCGAGTGGTGATGGGGCTTACAGTGCAAAGTACTTGTTGGTTCTTTGAAGTTATCCACTTATTTCTTTATCCACTGATTGCAAAGTGCTCCTTTATAACTCTGGAAAAATTCATAACAGTGAGGTGAGGAAACTGAAATCATGCTGATCTGTGTGTGTGTGTGTGGGGGGGGGGGGGGGGGGGCTCTGATGTGTTTTTCTCCTTCTTTCTTATCAAACATTTGTGGTTCTCATCTTTCCTCCTTTCCTTTGCACTTATTCTCTAGTATCAGCACCTGTTTTAATCTTCGGTATTTATTTTTTCTTTTACCTGTTTGTGTTGCAAGTGCCATAAAAGTTTTACTAAAATTGGAACAAAATTCTGATCTTATGCTGTAATCTTATTTTGTTATTCTGATATTGTCATCTTATATTATTTTCAGCTGTTTGAAGACATCGTCGACCTGTTAGACCCACAGTTCAACATCCAGGACATGCAAGACACAGACATGGATCTGCTGGAGGAAGTGGAAGAAAAAGAGACCTCGGAAACTGCGTCTCAGTCATCTCTGAGCAGGAGATCTGGCACAGACTCTGAGGAGAAACAAAGAGCAGAGGACAGGCTGTGAGTTTGTGTGGCTCAGTGTTGAGCATGACACGCTTTGAACTATTATCAGTTTGCTTTCTTGTTTGTTTTTTTATTTGTTTGTTTGAGAAATGTGAAGTAGGCTACACAGTCATTTAGCGCTGGGAAAAAGTAAGATAGACAGACAGACTCTGAGGAGAAATAGAGAGCAGAGGACAGGCTGTGAGTTTGTGTGTGGCACAGTGTTGAGCATGACATGCTTTGAACTATTATCAGTTTATTTGTTGGTTTGTTTGTTTGAGAAATGTAAAGTAGGCTACATAGTCATTTAGTGCTGGGAAGAAGTAAGACAGACAGACAGACTCCGAGGAGAAACAGAGAGCAGAGGACAGACTGTGAGTTTGTGTGTGGCACAGTGTTTAGCATGACACACTTTGAACTGTTATCAGTTTGTTTGTTTGAATAAAGAGAAGTAGGCTCTTTCAGTGATGAGAAAAAGTGAGACAGACAAAGAGAGACAACAGAGGAAAAACAAAGAGCTGAAGTAGAATTGTAATTGTGTGTGTGGCACAGTGTAGAGCATGGCCCACCTTGAACTGTTATCACTTTGTTTTGGGGGTTGTTTTTTAGTAAAGTCTCATGAAGTAGGCTACACACAGTCATTTATTAGTGCTGGGAAAAAGTAAGACAGACAGAAACAACAGAGAAAAAAACAAAGTGAAACAGACAGCTTGTGAGTTTGTGGCACATTATTGAACATGACACACTTTAAACAGTTATCATTTTTTTGTTTGTCTGTTTATTTGCTCTTTGAAATGTATTTGTGTGTTTGTTTGTTTGTCTGAACAAAGAGAAGCACATCAACACAATAATGGTCATTTTGTGCTTGGGAAAAAGTGAGACAGGCAGACAGAAGCAACAGAGGAAAAGTAAAGAAGTAGGATCTACCAGTGATGCCCTCCACTCAACCGCTATAATTTTCAATTTTGTGGATCATAAAAAAAAATTTTAACACTTAAATACTGGTAACAAGAGTTATTTTCTTTTTGTTTTAACAGATAACATTGAGTTTTGTAGCCAACTGTTTTGTTTTCTGGGTCATACAGTGGACCTTCTGTGAAACAGACACCTGTTCGAAATATTCACCTGTACAAATAACCTCTTCTTCCAACTTCCCCCTTGTGGGTATTTTTTTACCTACATTATAATGACACTGTGCATGAGATCCACCTGTGTAAGACAACCACTTTTGTCTTTGACAATGGGAAGCTGTCTTGGCAAATTTTGACTGTATATTTTTCAAGATCATCTCTTTAAGACCAACACTGGTACTGATGTTCTTAATTTAATTAGATTAGTCCATGTTTCACTGAGTTGTTGACGAGTGTTTTTTTTCATTTAATAACATTTTGTACGTGTACCCTCGCTGACATTACTGCCCAATATGCTGACTTTGCTCCTCTTGTTGTTGTACACTTTGCATTTAGAGTGACCTTTTTATCTTTCTTCAAAGCCCGGTCTTCCTCTACATCTTTACTCATGTGTTACTCCTTGCATGATTCTTTGTCCCACTGTGCATCTTTTGTTTCATTCACAGATTTAACTTAAAATTTATTTTAACATCTTAACGATTTATTGAAAATCGCAATACCAGTAATAAATACATTGTTTTGATGGCGTGATAAACTTCATTTAAGTTGGGGGGGGGGAGGGAGGGGGGGATGTTAATACTTTTCAATCAATCAATCTATCAATAATTGCCTTTCTCACCCTGGATGAAGATATATATGGGCCACGAACATAAACACTTTACACCTTTTCCTATCCTGGGCTAGTCGCTTGATGTCACTCCATGTCTTTCCACTTTTCTGTACATCCATTTCCATGACTCTTCTCCAGGTTCCATGTGGTCTTCCTTTCGATCTTTTAACCTATGGGTTCCAATCCAACACTTTCGTTGTTATGCAGCTGCTTGACTTCCTGAGAGTGTGTCCTGTCCATCGCCAACGCCTTCTTCCCATCTCATCTCTGAGTGGGCTCTCATGTCTCGTTCTTCTTAATACTTCCTCATTGGTGACTCTATTTGTCCCTCTCCCGAAGATGGAAAAATGGTAAGGCGTGTATGTTTGTGTGTCTATAACTTTTATTACCTTTACCTACTGTATTTCAAATAAAAATTTTCAGGATCAAAGAAGCAACAGAAGGCGCACCAATCCGAAACCCCTACCGGTGGCTTCCTCGTAAAGACGTCAAGGATAAGAAAGATGGAAAGAAAGCCAAAGAGAAGGATCAAAAACCGTGGCCCACGTCACCATCAGAGGAAGAACATATTAAAAAGGTTACTCAGGTAAAGTTGATGAGGCATATTCTGTTCTTGTAATACAAACTGGCTGTAAACTTTTAGGAAAGTTTTTCTCAAGGCAAAACAAAACAAAACCAAAAAAAACAACAACTGATGATGCAGGCTGACTCTTGGTTTTTGTGTGTTAAGGAGCCACAGATCGATCTAATCCTTCGTTTTAGAACAAAAAGAGAACTTCCCCCAATGTGTCCTTTTGTGTGACTATGCCTATGAGACTGTGGATCATCACCTGTTCCACTGCACGGCCCTAAATCACATCAGAGCTACACTTCTCCATCCGAGGCCTAAAGACAACACACTCTACGGAACATTACAGCAACTGCAGCAAACCTGCACTTATCACTACATGGCATTGGACAGAAGGGCGAGAGCCCAGCTGTTGCTCAATCAATAACAACAACAACAACCAAAGAAAAAGGGTTGACCTGTTGCTTCCGTGTATACGGCATTGTCAAGATACTTCACCTTCTCTGGGATAAGTTTGAATTCTTTAAGGACATAGTGGACACATATAAACAAGGCATCATGGTAAAATCAGACACTCGTCAAAATAAAGAAATCCAAGAAACAGGCACTTTTCTGCCAGCTTTACAATTTTTATCAAATTTTTTTTTTTTTTGGCTCAATGCCTTTTCTTCCCGTTTTACACTACATTTTACTGAAAATCGTTGATTAAAAGCATAAGATACGTAAATTTTCAGTTTTCAAGACTTCTGAGGCTACTGAAGTTACCAAACTTTGGGGGCCATGGTTTCATAATGTACCCAATGCTGTATGTTGCCTTTCTGAAATTTCAGATAACTAAAATTGTAATGGGAACTGTATGAATAACGAAGTTGTGCTTCTTTTTTTTTTAATGCCCTGAAAATGCATCTTCCAAAGTTGTTGGAATACGAGATTGCTCATCCTCAAAGAGTACACACTCCGCACGGTGGTTATTGAAAGACTCGAGCTTTTATGTGCTGCCTGTCACTACTGGTACTAGAAGAACTGTGGGGAGGGAATGTAGAACTGTGGGGAGTGAATGTAGAACTGTGGGGAGTGAATGTAGAACTGTGGGGAGTGAATGTAGAACTGTGGGGAGGGAATGTAGAACTGTAGGGAGGGAATGTAGAACTGTGGGGAGGGAACGTAGAACTGTGGGGAGGGAATGTAGAACTGTGGGGAGTGAATGTAGAACTGTGGGGAGGGAATGTAGAACTGTGGGGAGTGAATGTAGAACTGTGGGGAGGGCATGTAGAACTGTGGGGAGGGAATGTAGAACCATGGGGAGGGAATGTAGAACTGTGGGGAGGGAATGTGGAACTGTGGGGAGGGAATGTAGAACTGTGGGGAGGGAATGTAGAACTGTGAAACCACGGCAGATAACCTGAGTTCCCGAGTACTTCTCCGGGTGTTCTCATCAGGGTCACCTGTCTGACCTCAGTCGTTCTATCAAAGATCGTACATAACAAGATAGTTCACTCCTCTCTTTGAGCTAATTAAAAAAGTGTCTTCAAAATTGGGTGGCGCCCTCTTCGAGAAAGAGCAGATTTTGCTAACAGACTTACCCTACTTGTGTGAAAAACAATAAAATGGAAACTAACAAACTGTGCTATTCCTATTCTTCTTCTGGAGAAACGAAAGAGAGCTTCAAAACAAAGACTATAACGCCATCTGAAGCAATGCGCAGCCTTCCACGGTCACTTTTGTGGCTGAGTGAACAATCTTGTTATGTGCAATCTTTCATGCTATCTGCCTTGTTCTTGGTAAAATCAAAGTTCAACAACTCTTACAGTTTGAGTGAAAATTATCATTCCAAAAGCTACTTCCCTTTATATTGACTGCGATAAAGGCAGAAACTCCTATTTGTATTCTACTCTTTTTCTTGTAAATGAACTATGACAAAGACAATCTTTATTCCTCTCGCAGGGAGAAATTTGTCTTAATCGTTTACAATGGCAGTAGATGTTACAAAGGTTAGGTGAACAATGTCCTGTGACTAAAGTTCTTCTTTTGTAATAGAAGGTAAGTGAACAAGACTTATAACCTTCAAGTTCTTTGGGTTTGTTTGGGGGGTTTTTTTTTCTGTTCTGAAATATTTTGTTTTTGTCCTCAGGAATTTTGTGATTGGGTAGCCGACCTTGGTGGAGAGAGTAACAACATTGAAGAGTCTACGATAACGAGTCTGTTCGCCAGTGGGTGAGTAGTTCTTAAATTCTAATTGTAACCCATTTTGTTTCACCCCTATCAAAACATTTTCATCATGTCGGAGGTGGATTTCTTTAACACTTACAGTACCGAAGGCTCATATAATGACAACCCTCAAGTACCGCACCAGTTTAGAATGCTGAAGCCATTGTAGAATTTTTTTTTCTAAATAACAAAAAAAACCTTGGCAGCCCAAGAACCATGCTTTAAAAATTCATAGAGGTTCATCAACCATTCAGCTATCATATAGACTGACTTCCTTTGGTATTATTTCAGTGCAGTGCGTCCGTTCCTTGTTTGATTATGTTTAGTGTGCCTGGTTGTGTCAGCAACTAAGATTGCCGGCGGTAGTGAGCGCATACTATCGCCTGGCGTCTAAAATCACCGACAGTACTGTAAGTGAAAGAGTTCATCCAGTGCCAGATATGTGACAGACATCGGCGATCATGGTTCTTCATTCATTCCTTAGCTCGGATGCTCTTAAGAAAGCTATGTTTCCCTGATCTTTCCTGTTACCCATTTGTTTAGGTTCCCTAATTAGGTTGCTCTGGGCCTGCCTCACTTGACTTCTATTTTGCCAGTGAGGGCTAGATGTTCAAGACCCTTATGTATATTCAGGTTTTCCAAAAACTGCATTTGTCATTTCCTGATTGTTTTTAACAGTGAGCGTCCCGCGTGGGCTTCATCAAGTACTACCTCATTTGATTTCTTTTCTTTCCACGACAAAGTGAATGAGTTAATAAAGCTGCTTGTCCTCGCCCGTGTTTCCCTCCAGCTACGAGACAAAGCCAGCACTGTCGGTGCCCATCCACGTGGTAGAGCTGACCAACGTGCCCCAGGAGCTGCGACTCTCGGCTGCTGTGCCACCCCCACCCCCTCCCCCCCAGCCATCGAGTCTAGCAGAGGAGCCGAAAAAGGTCAGAAATATGTAGGCCTATATATGTGAGGTGTGCTGACAAAATGAGTTACTTCTCCGATTTTAGCCTTATGGAAATTGATACATCAACTTTAAGGGTGAAGTTTGTAGAATTTGTAAGTATGGAAAAATAAAAGACATGGTAGACTTGAACAAAATGGTATTAATTAGAAATCTATAAATCTGACCGCAGTGTCGATTTTCGGCCGATATCTCCATTCTTAGACAGGGAGAAGTAAATTATTTTGTCAGCACACCTCACATATGTGTGTCATTGTGAGGAAATCATCAAATTAATAAAAATTCAAGAAACCAGCGTTTTTCCCACCCTGTGGCCAGTTTTCATTAAATGTTTTATTGGCTCAACACCTTTTTGCCTATTTTAAAAAGAATTTCTATGTGGATTTTTACTGGTAAACATTGATAAAGGGCACAAAAAATATAATTTGACAGTTTTCATGGACCATCAAGCTCTGGAAGTCACTCAACTCTTGCAGTTATTTTCTTGCTAATTTTACTCTCACCTTATTCTATTGCAAATGTCTCGACTTGTATTCAAGATCGGTATACTCTCTTGGACGGAAATACACATAAGATAAGATAAGATACATCTTTATTGTTCAGATTCTGGCACATTGCCTTGGTCTTTCACCAAGTACACACACACTCAGATACACACACACACACACACGCACGCACACACACACACACACACACACATGCACACTCACACACACACACACACAGACACATGTACACACACACACACACACACACATGCATACGACGCACACATACAAACTACAAACATGCACATGCACAAACATGCACACACACACACACACACACACACACACACACACACACACACACACACACACACACACACACACACAAACATGCACACACATGCCTTGTCTTCATTTCTCCTCTCCTCCTTGCCACAGAGGATCACCCACACACACACACACTCGCACACACACACATACACACACACACACACACAAACATACACATACACACACACACACTCACACATACACAAACACTCACACATGCACACACATGCCACGTCTTCATTTCTCCTCTCCTCCCTTCCACAGAGGATCACCGGAGATTACGAGCCCAGCTGGGTCAAGTTTAAGTACGGCGCCTGGTACCTCAGCCCTCGTACGTGGAAGAAGATGGACCAGGACGAACCGTTGATGGACCCCAAGCATCTCAAGGATCAGGAAATGTCGGAAGCGAAGAAAAAGAGCAACGCCCTGGTGAGTACCTACTGTGCTTATCCACCTCTTCACATTTTTTCATTTTGTTACCTCCAACTTCTCATCTTTTCATTTTGTTACCTCCATCTTCACATCTTTTCATTATGTTACCTCCAACTTCACATCTTTTCATTATGTTATCTCCAACTTCACATCTTTTCATTATGTTACCTCCAACTTCACATCTTTTCATTTTGTTACTTCCAACTTCCCATCCTTTCATTTTGTTACATATTCCATTCTGTTACCTCCAACGTCATATCTTTTCTACTTGTCACATCCAATATCACATCTTTTTATTTTGTTTCTTCAAGTTCTAGTGGCTAACAATCTTTCCTTTTAATTAAGCTAATTAGATTTCCCAAAAAAGCCCACCGTGAGAATATCTGTTGTTTTCTGTATTATCTACACAGTCGAACACTCATGGTCGAGAAGAAACGTGGTTGTCTTGGAAAGGTAGATCTAGATCTCTCGGACAGTGGTATTACAATATATAGAAAAAAAGCAAAGGTGGGAAGTGGTTGTTTGCATGGGTGGTTGCCTTAAACAGGTTGTGGCCATCAGGGAATTAAGGTTTGACTGTATTTGTCTAGCATACATCAAGCACTAGTAGGGTAGCTACAAATATTTATTTATTGAACATTAACTGATTCAGCCTGCAGTGCCGCTCACAGGAACTGGCGGTCTCCTGTGCTTTGACGCAGAGCTGCTCAGAGTGGCTCTTATCTATTGCTCCCTTTCCTCACGTCACTTTTCTCTCTTCCTGTTTGCCTTACCACTTACATTTCAACGCTTTTTATTCTGGTGTCATTGAACAGTATTTTTTATTCTGAACATTTCAATATGCCACACACAGAGTTTTATGAAATAAAGATACTTCTTTATTAACTTTATGTGGGATCTCGTGTGAGGTCACGAAGTTTTCACAAATTATTTGCGTCTGGAGTCAGAATTATCTGCTGGCTGAATCAGTCAAAAAAAGATATTGAGCATGATTTCACTGTCAGTAAGTGAATAGTATTTCACCTTTGTAAAGGTAACTTTAACATCTCTAGTTGTGTTCATCTGAACTTGCCCAAAACCCTGTGTCTGAATCAAAGTATCCAAAAAAACAAAACTACACTTTTACATAAATGTAACATTAACGTCACTATTTGTGTTCCAGTACATCTTAACCTTCCGGAAAACCTGTGTCTGAAAAACAAAACAAAAACAAAATAAAACTTATCTTTTACGTAATAATTTTTTTACCGCAGAACCAAGAACTGGCGTCCATGCACGCCTCCAAAGCTTTCTCCGACTTCATCACGAAGAAGACAGCCAGAAGACCAGAGGTTTGTAGAGTTGTGTACTGTCATGCTACGGAAGTAGGCCAAGTAATCGTGCACTGTTGCTGTACCGAAGGCCACACTCTCTAAGGCAACGATATTACCGATCCGGTGGCCTAACCATTAGGCCACTGACTCCACTTATAGTCTCATTATATTATTGTAAAAAAAATGCAAAGGAGAATGGGGGGGGGAAATGGGAAGTGTTTGTTTGTGCAGGTGATTGTTTTTATACTGGTGGCCATTGGAGCAGATTGGACTGTATATATTTTTTTATATATATATATACAAACTATGGGCATGAGGTCATGGCTGAACAGCACACACTTTTCCCACATGTTCCAAGACAAAAATTTCGTGGACAAAAATTTCATGCCTTGCCGGTACATGCCAGAAAAATTTTTGTTCCTTAACCTATTTATGTAGTGTAATATTGCATGCATGCTGCTCAAGGTTATTAACCCATCGTACGTCCTGGGGTCATTTTGTACCCCCAGGGTTGTATTCTTCACATTTTAGAATACTTCTAGTACGAAGATCTCTTTGAAACTTTCTGTTAGCTTATTTCTCCAAAAAAATTTTGACAGACTACTACTATGCAAAACGTTCGGATCCGATTAACGATTAAATTTCCTCTTTTTAAAGTGGTGGCACAGAGTTCCCGGGTCGTATGGATGCGATAGTGAAACACGACGTACGGATAGGGTTAAGTAATTACTACACTTGTGTGGAGATAGCCTTTCAAAGTTTTAGATCAGACATGAATGCATTATTATGTAGGCCTACAGCTGGGAATATTTCATAGATGTAGAAGTTAATCATCACAGTGTTTCTACACTGAGTACTGTATCCCAGCAGAAAGACAGATACTCGCTATAAATTCTCTCCCCACTCAGTTAAAAACTAAATTCTGCATTACTTTTCTTCGCTGGAGAACCGTCCATAGCTTTGCTTTTGCTTCTTATTTTTTTTATCTCCTCAGTGCCACATATGGGTTATGATTTAATGATAGGTTGTTTGTTTGTTTGCTTGTTTGAGTGTGGTATGGCATCTTTCAGTCTAAGAGACTATGGATCTGCGCCGTAGGAGATTTCAGGTTCGAAAGCAGCGCTTGCTGTGGCTGAACAGGCCCACATGGGAATGGCAGTCCCTGTTGCAGTGGCTGCTCTTTGAGTAAAGAGAAGCAAGTCCACACAATAAAGGTCATTTAGTGCAGGGCAAAAGTGAGGCACACTCAGGGACAGAGACACCAAAGGGAAAGAAAAGAAGGACCCACCAGTGACACCCCCCCCCCCCACCTTCCCAACCTCCCACAAAGTCTTTTGGTTTGGATTGCGACTCTGGTGTCTTAGCAAACAAGGATCTGCAAAGGGACTAGGGACCCACCAGTGACACCCTCCAACCTCCCACAAAGTCTTTTGCTTGGAGTGTGACATTAAGCAAACGGGGATCTGCATAGGCAAATATGGAAAAGCTTCCCAGTCTTGACGAGGGAATGAAGACCTCCCAGGCTGTCGTCTTGTTCCGGCAAACTGAGGTGTGAAACACAACGTGATGGGGGAATTCCTCCCTCCCCTCGGGACATTTCTTACCCCCCC